TATATATAGTAGTTCTGTAAATTGTGTATATATGAGAGAAATTTTAGACGACAAGTAAAGTAATTCGATGAAAACTTATTTCTTTTTTTTGGCCTATAAAAAAATCACACATACACACATTATTGGATTGAATCACAAAACTATAAAATTACAGCTGCAGTCCCTAAAAGAATATGTTCTAGTGTACATTTTTTTTTAAGTTTTAGTATAAATCAATAATTTGGATAATTATTCATGCAATAAGAAAGTGTTTAACCTATAACTGCTTTAGTGGTTGACCAATTCATTTTTCACCTTTTTTTTCTTATCTTTCGCTTTTCATTCATACATTTTACTTTATTTTTTCTTTTCATATAGACAACTTGTAAAATTAGTCAAAAACTCACTCCAATCTAAACATGGCAACAAAACGAAAAGAAATAAGTAATCATTTATTTATGAATGGGGAAATGCAAAGTGTAAATAAGTCTCATCATTACAAGAATATTAAAAAAAAAAAAAAACCATCAACAGAGAGAAATTTTTACATTAATGGATGATGGATCATCAACTCATCACTAGTGGGTCAAATAAAGGCCCATGACATAGAACCCATTAACATATATTCAACCCATTAATCATTAAGAGACGACACGTGTAAGTGGACTTCCCGATCATATCACCACCGCCAAATCCTTTGGCGGCACCACCCAGCTGAACAAAAAAACACCATGGACGGTAGGTAGTAGGTACGTTGTCGTCACGCGCTTCTTATAACGCGAGTGGTTTAGGTGATTTGTTTATCCAATTCCTTATTCCCAGCTTCTGGTGTGTATGTGTCACCGTATCTCTTCTCTGATTGGCTGATACAATTTTTTAAAATAAGTAATGAATTTATTTAAAAATAGCAACCCCATGATTCTCGGTGTATCAACCATAAAACGAAAAACAAGACCGTAACCGTTGATTCGGTGGACCAGAAGAAAGATCGAACGGTTTAGATTTCGTGGCTTTGACTCTTTTTAATTCGCCGTCACTGGAGAGAGAGAGAGAGAGAGCAGAGGACGACGAACGAGGACAAGAAGAAGCTTCTTCTCAGAGAGATCCCGTGGAGGAGAATTCTAACCGGCGGATCTGTTTGTTTCGGAGCTTTTTTTTTTTAATTTGAATCATCCATCAATGGGTTTGTGGGAAGCTTTTCTCAATTGGCTTCGTAGGTGTGAGACCCCTCCTTTTAAGATTCCTTCTTCTTCTTCAATCATTCTGTTCTTGTTTTGATTATATTGAGCTGAAATTTTTGTTTATCTTGAGGTTTTGAGTTTCTTTGTTGCTTAATTCCGAGCTGAATTTTGAATTTTTGTGAAGAAATTGAAATGAATTTGGAAATTTTGTGAAGAAATTGAAATTGAAAATCGTGTAACAACACCGTAATCAGCTCAGCAGTACTTGAATCCTGGTCTTGTTCTAATTTTGGTGAATTGAAGATGATTTTTGACAAGGTTCTCCTACTTTTCATAGAAAGGTTCTGTAATTTTTATCCTTTTGAATTTATAAAGAAACAAGCTTTTAGGCATTTGATGTGATATTGTTCTATTTGATTGCCAAGATTTAGGGGTTTATAGGTTTATACGTCTTTCTGTGGTGACATTAGGAGAAATGTGTATCGCTCAAGTTTTTTCAAGGAATATAGTGTATGTAAACCTCAAAAGTTTCATGACAGATTGGTTCTTTTTGGCATCTATTTCTGTCTCTATGCTCTCCATTTGTAAATTGGGTTAAAAAATTGTGTAATTTGTTTGGACCTAATCATTTGTTGGTTTCGATATGCTTTTGCAGCCTCTTCTTCAAGCAAGAAATGGAGCTTTCTTTGATAGGACTTCAAAATGCAGGAAAGACATCACTTGTAAATGTTGTTGCAGTAAGTATAGTATTCTTCCCTTTTATATGTTATTAACATTTAGTTGTTGGTGGTTGGGGAATCTGATATCTACTCTCATTTTTTTTTTGCTTTCTTAGACTGGTGGGTACAGCGAAGACATGATCCCTACGGTGAGTGTTACACTACACCTATTACAAAAATCCATTTTTAACGAGAAAAAAACATCCATGCATGCTTTTTGGAATAACATGAAGAGATTCTTCGTTTTCTTTATTTCAGGTTGGGTTTAACATGAGGAAGGTGACAAAAGGAAATGTTACCATCAAGCTATGGGATCTTGGTGGTCAACCAAGATTCCGCAGCATGTGGGAACGTTACTGTCGTGCTGTTTCTGCAATTGTGTAAGGATCTTAGAATCAGAGTTCTGTGATCTTTAAATCCCGGATTTAGGTCTCTGTTATTATCTCCCATTATTTGGTTTCATGTTGATTCCATTTCCAGGTATGTAGTTGATGCGGCTGATCCTGACAACCTCAGTGTCTCTAAAAGTGAACTCCATGATCTGTTGAGCAAGACTTCGCTTAATGGTATTCCTCTTCTGGTTCTTGGGAACAAGATTGACAAACCTGGAGCTCTGTCCAAAGAAGCTTTAACAGACGAAATGTATTGCTTTTCTTCATCTGAATACTCTAACATAGCACAATTTAGCTCGATCTGATTATGTTTCTGACATTGTTATTGTTGCAGGGGGCTTACATCTCTTACAGATAGAGAAGTCTGCTGTTTCATGATATCCTGCAAGAACTCTACCAACATTGATCAGGTCATTGATTGGCTTGTAAAGCATTCAAAATCAAAGAACTAAACTTCACCAAGAACATATATTCTCCCTTCTTGATCTTCTTAGTCTTCCTGTGTTGTCTGGTTGATGATGATGATGATTGTTGAAGACATTTTTTCCTGTGAAACAAGAATATGTCTTTATTTGTCGTCTGTCTATCCTGCTGGTCTGGCCTTGTTTGGTCCAGTCGTGTCTTTGTATATTAGATGTGGTTTGTTTTCTATTCTCAAGGGTTTGCAATTTTGGTAACACAAATTCATAAGTGGCCTCAGTTTTTTAAACTCTGCATATTATATAACTAAAATAGAAATTAGACTCTCACATAAAAAGTTAACATGTTACACTAAAAAATGATGCTTCTCGTAATGCTCGTATCATAGGAGTAAAACTATATTTTTCTGCTACAAGGTTTTCTTGCAGTAAAATTATATGAGTTTATAATCCAAGGAGATCTACCACAATTGTGACAGAGTCAAAGCAACCAGCAAGGGCAGCTTAAGAGGCTAATATAAACCTTGCGACTGAACGATCATGTTACACGAGAAGCGGAGAAGGTATATAGAAACCTTGCAGTTTCTCTAAATAATCAAAAGAATTCAATGGTGTGCTTACCAGTTACAGTATGTATGTAACTAGATCCTCTTGTTTCCCACGGAGGGTTGATTATATAGCTCTACGTTGCCTCCATTACCTCAGGCAACAATCTAATATAAAACTATATATTCTGTTTTTGAAAGAAAAAAAAACTTAGTGCTGTCCCTCTTCTTCTCTTGGTTGATATTTTGAGACTAGAGAGGACCTATTATTTGTTTGTTTCAGTATGGTTTACTAGTCTCTTCTCTTCAAGCAAGAAATGGAGGTTTCTCTGATAGGACTTCAAAATGCAGGAAAGACATCACTTGTAAATGTTATTGCAGTAAGTATTGTAGGCTTCCCTTTTATATTTTCTTAACATTTAGTTGTTGGTGGTTGGGGAATCTGATATCTACTCTCATCTTTTTCTTGTTTAGACTGGTGGATACAGTGAAGACATGATTCCTACCGTAAGTTTTACACTACATCTCTTACAAAATTGAATTAACATAAAGAGATTCGTCTTTGCTTTTTATCAGGTAGGGTTTAACATGAGGAAAGTGACAAAAGAAAACGTTACAATTAGACTATGGGATCTTGGTGGTCATCCTAGATTCCGCAGCATGTGGGAACGTTACTGCCGCGCTGTTTCTGCGATTGTGTAAGGATCTTAGACTCAGGTGTCTTTTATCCTTAATGCCCGGCTTTAGGTTATATTTCTATTCTTCACAATATGGTTTCATGTTGATTCCAATGTCTAGGTACGTTGTTGATGCTGCAGATCCTGACAACCTCAGTGTCTCGAGAAGTGAACTCCATGATTTGTTGAGCAAGAGTTCGCTTAACGGTATTCCTCTTCTGGTTATTGGGAACAAGATTGACAAACCTGGAGCTCTGTCCAAAGAAGCCTTAACAGAAGAAATGTATAGCTGTTTCTTCATCTGAACACTCCAAAAACAAGCACAAAAGGCATTTCATTTAGCTCATGACTATGTTTCTTGCATTGTTATTGTTGCAGGGGGCTTAGTTCGCTTACGGATAGAGAAGTCTGCTGTTTCATGATATCCTGCAAGAACCCTACCACCATTGATCAGGTCACTGATTGGTTTGTAAATCACTCAACATCAAAGAACTAAACTTCACCAAGAACATATGTTCCCTCTTCTTGATCTTCTTGCATTATCTGGTTGATAATGATAATACTTCTTGTAAGTCAGTTTTTTCATGTGATACAAGAGTTGGTCTTTATTTGTCTTCTGTCACACTTACTTTACTGGTCTTGTTTGGTCCAGTCTTGCCTTTGTTTATTACATGTGAGTTGTTTTCTAGTCTTAAGGCTTTGCAATTTTGAACACACAAAAACATAAGTGCCTTTCTTTAACTTCTAAAAATCTAAAGATAGGGAAATAAGCTGTGTGTACAATCAATGGCCTTATTTATTTCTCTTCAAAACAAGTTTCGAAATGGGTCGCGAGAACACTGGAAGTTACTAGCAAAAACAGATCAAGAGAAGAAAAACAAAAGAACAGGTTTTACAGTCAATGGAGTTAGAAGACATTACAAGCTGCGATATTAACACTGTTACTGACCAAAAACACTGCAGCGATGCAAAATTGAAAATTGACATAACATGAAGATAATATCAAAACGATAATAATATCAACAATACAGTATTAACGATACAACATCAATGATTTCTTAGTTCTTACCGAGTTTGGCTATGCATCCTATACTTCAAAGCTTTCATCGCGGCTTTTGCAAAAATATGGGCAGCTTCAGCTTCGGCTTCTGCTTCATCTGCCTCTCTTGCCGCTTCTTCAGCTTCTACTATTGCAAATTCTGCTTCTGCCACGGCTCTTGCAGCGGCTGCAGCAGCTTCTTTTTCTGTCATGCCCTTTATTATGACTTCTCCATCTACTTGGGAGTAAGTAAGATTCTTGACGCCGTTCTCCTGGGGTTTCGGAGTATTTTCCTTGTTTCCTTCCACAAAGAGTTGAGGAGACCTTTGTCTTGCTACTTCATCCATATAATTTGGAGAAATCCTATATTTGTGCTTTATCTAAAAGGTGAGAGCAAACACAAGAAGTACACCATTGTTAGGTGGGTAATTAAAAATGTGATTTTCGCAAGGGAAAATTTCAATCAATGTGTTTCTTTTTACCTTAACTAATGTTCCAACATTTGTCAAATACTTTAGTCTTGAAGTCACAAGCCGTTTCATATCCTGTTGCATCTTGAAATTCTCCTGAAAATTACAGCTACATTAAGGTCCTTGGTGATTGTATATAGATGCAGCCATAAGTACATAGAAGGAACGCCTAACTACATAGAAAAAGTACCTCTATATACCGCAAGATCGACTTTCCGTCAGGACCAAATGGTCTCTTCAAATTGGTAATGGCCTCCAGTATTATCTTATCCACACTACAACAAACATATCAAAACTCAGATCCATCTTCAAGAAACTTAAACTAAAGTAAAGCCTTTATGCTTCATTATATTACTCACTATTCCCATACTCTACATCCACAGCATCAACAAATCATACAAATACAAGAAGAAGCCAAACCTTGTAAAGGGTCCTTTCAAAGCTCTTGGTGGTTCACAAGAACCTGCAGGAGGAGATGGTGCATCAATCAGTTGTCCTCCTCCATCACCATTGTGACCATTAGCCAGAGACACAATGGTTATAGCTGTAGCGTTATCATCTTGCCTAGGACCCGACGAAGGAGTTCTTTTGAGTGCGAGTTTAGCCTTCTTCCTAGATCCCCATAAAGCTGTTACACTTATATTTCTCCATTTGTCCTGTTCAAATGTTTAGACAACAATGTTATAAGCTTCTGTAATCTCTCTTCTCTCTCAAATTGTTATTGTTTTTGTACCTTGAGATCCACATTAGAACGAGACTTCAAAATTGAGCTATACTCAGGATCTGAGAGAATGGTACGCCATTTTCCAGTTCCATGTTTAAGCACTCCAGCTTTAAGAGCTGTCTCTTCTTCTGGTGTCCACTTCTGCTTTGGAGCTCCCATTCACACAATTTTATCACAAAAAGAAATTCAAAATTCTCCTGAAGCACACACAACAACAACAACAAAAAACTTCTAATGTCTTGACTTCGTTTCTCTGCAAAGCAGATGAAACCATCACAAAGATCAATACTTTATAATCATGAAGACAAATGAGATGCAAGAGAGAGTTATGTCTGGTTTCAACGAAACAACCCATAAGCTTTCCAATTGCGCATTAATGAATAAGCAATTCAACAGAAATGCCAAGCCAAATCATCATTAGCATGAGAAAAAAAGATTAAAACTTTCGATCAGGGAAATCGGGAAATTAACAAGGAGAGGAAGAAGAAGAAGCGCATGCCTGAGAGAGCTGAAGCGAATGAGAGAGGAAGCTCTGGAGAGTGTCATGGACCAAATTTTGAATCTTGGAAATTGTCGCAGAGACAAGGAAGAAGGAAAAACACACAAAACTTGACCTTTATTTTCGATTCAGCTTCGAAGGATGATGATGAATTGTATCGATTTTGAGGGTGCTTGACTTAGAGCCCTTTATTATCCTCTACTTTATAAATTCGTCTTAATACTTTATTTAGTTACAAAACACACCCCTTTTGATCTAAACCTATAAGGGATTATTTCATGAAGTTAATGAGGATGAATTGTAGAACATTGGTTTCACATTTTCATATCTTGAAACCGTGTTTCCGCGATTTCTTACCATTCATAATATCTATCAAGTTTTCACGTTATTAGAATATGATTTCTGTAAATAAAATTAATGTGTGTTAAAAATTAATTATAATTAAATTGATTTTAAAAGTAGTTTATTCAAAGTTTAGTAACTATTCTACGAAAATTCAATCAAATTTAATATTTTCCGCCAAAAAACTATTCAATTATTTCGTTATTCCGCCATTGACATATTAGTTAGGTGCGAATTGAAAACTTAAAATCCGAATAAGATATAATGACAAACATTACATAATTGAGTTACTTATTTGTGTTCTTCTACTGTAAAAATGAATGGCAAAGTGAATAGACAAACTTTTTACATATACAAAAGATGGGCACATACCCTGAATCAATCAAATAGTCATAAAAAATAAACAAGACCCTCAAGACAAATTCAGATTCATAACAAAAAAAAAAAGTAAAAATAAAGAAGAGAAACAAACCCAAAAGGCCAAAACGTGGACACACATAACCAGAAGAAGAGATCTAATGCTGATCAAACATGCCTTTTTAACATTTTATATCTTGACAAAATGCAATTTGCATCCTCAAGACGGTCAACGGCACATCTAGCTCCGATCAAAAGCAAGCTTCCAAGAGACAACAACAGCAGAGCATAGCCAAACTGTAGCAATGATACAAATCCACATTTTCTTAAGTACAAACCATTCATATAGACTTTGAATATCCATACTATTGCATACCAAAGTTTGATGAATAATGAAACTAAAAAAAATGTATCATCTAGAAAGGGATTAATCAGTGTCATCAGCTTCATAAGACTTATGTTAAAATGTATAAAAGAGATATTGAGTCAACGCACCATCCTTCCATAAAGCCTGAATCCTTGTCTTTCTTCTTCTTAGGCGGAGCCTGACCATATTGTGGCGGTGGAGGACCTTGATAAGGATACTGCGGTGGAGGACCTTGAGGATATTGTGGTGGAGGATAGCCTTGTGCTGGATATCCTTGACCGTACCCTTGCCCGGGAGGAGGATAACCCGCTGGAGGATATCCTGCTTGAGGATATCCCGCCGGAGGATATCCTTGTGGTGGATAACCCTCCTTAGGAGGATACCCTGAAAGAAAAAAACATCAAAACTTGAGAAACAAGAAACCAAGAATATCCAAAACCTACAAAATTTGAAATAATATTGATAGTTACCTTGAGGAGGAGGAGCACCAACAGGGTGTTGTTGATCTTGATAAGACATCTTCTTCTCTGATATGCTCTTGTCTTAGGTCTTTTTATCTTTCCTTATAACGAACTCCTCTGCTTCTTCCTCTTCTTCTTCGCTGTGAATGGAATAAAAATAGGATTATATGATGATGATGAATTATAAAAGAGGCTTTAGGAGACAAAAGACATGTTCTCTCCAAGGACTAATCTTAGATTTATACGATTAAACTATCATTAACAACAATCATAAGTGAGAGATGACCAACTCACTTTTGTTGAATTATTCAAAATTAAAATGCAATTTCCTCTTGACCCACATCACCAATATTCAATCTTTTTTTTTTTCTTTTTATCAGAAATTTATTTTATTTTTTAGGTGAAAATTTCCATCTAAATTTCTCATTTTTTCCAACTTCCCTATACACCAGTTATAGCCTATTTATCTTATCATCTTTTTTCCATTAATACCAGTTGGAGCTTAGCAAGCGTGGACATGGTCATCTTCCATTAATCAGATAAATACTAATAACATGTTGAGTTTCACCATCATTTATGACTTCACTAATAGACAAGTGGGTTAGTCCTTATCATTTGTAGAAAATGTTTTATTGGTCAAGGTTGATTTTTGCAAAGGACATTTTATATTTCAACTAGAAATATCCCATTACTTGGTCAATGGATTTGAAGGTGCATTATGTTGATTTCAAGACCAAAAACAAAAAAAAGAGCAATGCTAATTGCTTTTACAATCCGTTCATCAGTGAGAATTTTTTTTTCCACAAGAAATATAGAAGCAATGTTTGTTGCTGTGTACACAACCAACCTAAGAAGAAACAATTTGGGTTATTACAACAGTAGTGCCCTAAGAAGTTACAAGAGTCTCTACAGTCTACACTCTCCGACTGGTTCAAAAGTTTCTCTGGTTGCTTGCAGCATTTCAGAACCAGAGGAACCATCTTCTACGCTTAACAGTATTAGTCAGTTTACTGGACGATTCGTTTATCGGATTAACGCTGATTCTATTAGCATTTTTTGCCGCCCATTCGCCAAAACCGGGTGAAGAAACCAGTTCCTTCACTGCCTTTTCTGTGCTCTCTTTAGTGAACTTTTCTAACTCTTCCTTTGTTACCTTCCTTCTCCCTTCTGGTGTTTTGTGGAATGAAGAAGGGAATAAATCTGAAGCAGATAGTGGTACTGTCCTCAACTTCTTTTTGGAACCTGCAAAGACCATTTACAGAAGAAAAAACCGATTCTTCAATAACATTACGAGGTAAATGGAATAGTAGCAATGAAATCAGACCCCTTAGAGACACACAAAAAGAAAAACCAAAACCTCTAGGAAGAGGAGAAGCAAACGTAGTAGCATGGATTAAGCCGGGGCTACAACACTTATTTTCATCATCTTGCTCATAGATTCTTTGCGCTACCACCTTTCTGCTGATACTCTTTAGAATTACTGACGTGAGAATTCCGTATATCAACGCTCCTCCAGCAAGCAAGGGATCTAAAGAGCTCTGTTAATTAACACAAGATCATGACTTCAGTCCCCAAAAGGTTTTGTTATAATTAAAGATGAATCAAAAGCAGAGAAAAAACGAAGTACCTGAAGGATCAGAACCATAGCAAAAGCTCGAATGGTCCAACAGGCATAGATTGATGTACAAAGATCAATAGAACCATCTTTTGTCACAACAAATTTCTTAACAGTCCAAAACCCTGACCATGCTCCAAACAAATATACAAATGCAACCAAAAGAATCGCCAGCTGCAAATTTTGCATAAGCTTTAAGATTCATCAAACCAGAATATGCAAAAATATTCAAAAATATCCAAACTTACATACAGTGATGTACAAATCTTCACTGATTCCTATCTGCATTGGAGGATCATGAATTAAACCGCGTATGTACTGAAGAAAGTAACCTCCCGCACCAATCTGAGAAATTTTTTAAAAAGGCATTGGTTAGTGATTATTCGATTAGAACAAAAGAGGTCAAAGAGAAGACAATTCTCACCATAGACGAGTAGAGAAATAACTCAAGCCGACCCTTCCCTCCAGTTGGGAGATGCTTTAACCCCTGTAGACAATCAGTTATCGAGTTAACTAACAAGAGGTAAGCCATGAATTTACAAACAAAAGCTTTTTGAAATTTTAATGAAAACTTTAACCTGATTAATGATAAGAGTTACAAGAATGACAATTCCAATGGACATGGCACCAATGTAGTAAAACGTTACTGATTTACTAAGTCTAGAAGCCAAATTCAGCAACAATATCCCCATCATTAAGAACACGATACGGTACATGAAAAACTCTGCCAAGACAAACTCTACCTTGTTTAGTTATGTAATTTGCAAAACACAGGGATACTGTATAACAAAAGAACAAGACAAACTCTACCTTGTTTAGCAACCAGCTCCAACGTAGTGATATTAGATGAGCCACCAAATGTTCTTACATCGAGAATCTTGTAGTCAAAAGGTGACATTATCCCAACCCAAGGTAACTCTTTGGATACTTTCTTCCACTGACCATGAGGGCACATTCCAATTGCACGAGACGAATTCCTAATAATCAAGAAAAAAGGAAACTTGGATTTTAAGCTAAATGCAGACCTAAGATTGACACATATAGATAGATACACAGATACTAGATTTCACCTGTGAAAGCAAATGTCTATACTGTTGGAATCACTATTACTCAAAAGGGTCAGCTTCAGTGAATGTGCATATCTATCAATGTGATTAAGTCTTTGTAATCCATGGATATGTAATCTCTCACATATCGATGTAAGACCTGGCTTCAGACCAGGAGAATCAATCACCTCTGTTCTTGGAGTCACTTGTAATGAAACAGTTTCACCCACTGCTGCCAGTGACAACAAAATTGGATCTTTTTAGATATAAAATCTATCGAAATTTGTCTCTATTATGTGGAAAAGGTTTGAAATTTGGTGGTTCTAAACTGAAAAATTCGAATCCCAGATAAATTAAAACAAAACCCTAAAAATCTTAAACCATTCCAACTGAAACTTACCGAAGACATGTTCATCGGAGGAGACAATGGAGAAGAAAGTGAAGAGATTTAGGAAGAGAAGCACGACACTGATGTTGGAGCTTCGTATAGAGACTGATGACTTACTCATCGATTTTTCTGGGTCTTTGTCTTTTTTTTTTTTTTTTTTCTTTTGGATGAACAAGTCGTACCAAGTAAGGCGCGGATTTTATAAAGAAATTAAAAAGCAGTCACAGAAATTAATTAATAAATCCTAAATTAAAAGAACTCAACATTTTTTTTTTTTTTTTTTGTGAAAATATACTATCTTCTTTTGAAAGAACAAGATCAGCCTTCATATATGCACCGGTTAATGCATCCAATGTGAAAGAAGAAAATAAAAGACAAAAGCCAGTAAATCAATTTACAAATTAGAATCAAGTGAATATATCAAATTGCCATGAAGCCATATGCGTCTCGTGCAGTCGCCTCCTCTTTGTTTATAGGCACACTGAACATGTACTGGCTCTGATGCTCCACCAAGTACTGCATCGATCTCTTGGTGTCTAAAAACAATCGATACACTCTCTCAATGTCATCAATCTCCACAACTTTCCCTTTGCGTTTCAGGCAAGCCAAAGCAGCTGGATTGATTAGATGAATCACGTACCTAAGCGAGGTATCGCATCCAATCAGACTCAGAAGATGTTTTGCCTCGTCCTTCATCTCCACATCTTCTTCTTGGCAGCGTAGCTCTATGATCTTTCTGAAGTCATCATCTGTGTAAGGCTGAGTTGTGATGATGAGAAGACGGTCAAGGAGATCGATTGGGATCCCATGAGCTGATATCTGGTTTGTTCCTCGGATTTTTGTCATTCCTCGGTTCGTGGCTACGACGAGGATTGGAGACATACTGTTTTCGAGGGCTCGGTTTAGGAATGAGAAGCATTCTATATCAAGCATATGGACTTCATCAATGAAGAGAACACCAGGTACTATTTCAGCTGTCCCTTCTTCCCTCCATTCTGCCACTTTAGTATCGGTATGCTCCCGGGTTTCTGATCGGATTTCGCCTGTATCACCCGTGAAAAGGGCTAGAAACCCTTGAGTCCTACAAGGCACAGAAAAGAAAAACATGAATCAAGTTAATGACTTTGATGTACAAAAAAGGACCAATCTTTTCAATCTAGCAAGCTTAAGAATTAGCAACTGAACATATGTCACATCAATCAATGAAAACGCATCAAAACTTGAATCCCAACCACCTCTATCATCCCAAAATCCTTGATTTTCAAACCTAAAGTTGAAAAAGAACCGTTCTTTGCAAGCAACACCTAGACCATCATCCAAATACACAATCATTTCTATCAATTTCCAAGCCTAAAACTGCAAAAAGAAGCAATCTTTTCAACCTAAACCTCAAAACTAACCAATCAATAATATTAACAAATACAGAGAAATATCAAGAAACCAACCTGCTGTTAATAACATCGATCTCATGAAGTGTGACCGTATGCACAACCTCCTTCATCTTCTGAAGCTCACCTTCAGGACACTGCACAAACTTAGTCTTCGATCCCATAACGTCAAAATCTCTAGACCTCGAAGACGATCTTCCAAGCTTAGTAATCTTCCCACTAGGCCTATCCAAAACTATAACATCCCCACTCTGTACTTTCTCCTTATCCAACGCCTCAATCAGTTTCCATCCCAAATCATAATGAGATTCCATATCAGTCGTCTTCATGATTATCTTCCCCGTCTTCTTCACAGCACCACCAGAAGCAGGTCGATCAATCGAAATCGAAACGACTTCTCCTTCCAACACCTCTGTTTCTTCCTTGATCCTTACACCAATAGCTTTGCGAAAAGCTTGAGTTAAAGCTTCAGTCTTTGACATCTCTAAAGAAAAGATCTCACTTCCTACGATCATGGTGAAAGGTGTTTCTAACCCAAGCGACTTAGCAATACCCATTGCTATTGCGGTTTTACCCGTTCCGGGTTGACCTGCAATGAGTATAGCCCGACCCGCGATCTTGCCTTCTCTGATCATCTGAAGGATAAGTCCAGCGGCTTTGCGTGATTTGACTTGACCAACCATGCCTTCGGATTCGACTAGTGGCTCGAGTACTGAGTCGAGACCTAAGCCTCGTATGTGTGAGTGTGCTCCGATTCGTTCGACTCTGGTTAAGTCTCGAGTCTCTGATAACTTCAATTCTGCCATTGTTTAGTTCGCCGGAGGAATGAGACTTGATGGTTTTAGGGCTCCGTCGCAAAGGTTTAGTCTTTAGAGGAATCACAACAGAGTCTTGCAAAGAAAGAAAGAGGAAAGAAAGACTCTTCTTCGCAAAGGTTTAAGTTTTGTACTGTTACAAAAAAAAAAAGGTTTAAGTTTTGTATATTACAAGTGTTTTGGAAATTATAAAGATTGGTTTAATACATTTCTTTTTTTTCTTTTTTTTGGTTTAATACATTTTCGTGTTATATACATATTTACTGTACTTAGAACTTTTAGGAGTCGGAGGAACATTATCATTTTTTTTTTGTTTTGTTTCATAAAGTAAAATTGACTTACCAAAAAAAAAGGTAAAATTGATAAACTATGTAACATTTTGTTGGTAGAGAAAATTTGACAACCACTGCACGTAATCAAATTTCGAAAACGGCTAATCCTGCATTGAAATCTAAAAGACTCTTTGACTCTGTTTAGTGACAATTCTTGTGTGGAGTTTAAAGGCTTTGTAGTTTGTTGAGTTGTTTGATCCGTTTTGAATCTATACTTCCATTGCATTCATAGCTAACGTCAAATTTGGTCTAGCCTGTCCAACAAACAAGGATGACTTTGGCCTTCTCAGCTCGTATCCGGATGTCATCCGTGTGCATCACTACACCTATTCTTCAATGCCTTCTTTTCTAGATATGTTTAATTCTCGTCTCTATAACTCTTAGTTATATCAGTCACGAGATGTATAGGAACTCTCGGAATCAAAACAAAACAAAAACTTATATATTACTTCGATTGAAAAGAATGCGAAAAGGCCAAATGATTTGTCGAAAAGTATGTTTGGACCAAACACTATTGACATGATCGAATTGATTTTGTTGTAAACTCATTCATGAGACAGTTGCAATATCTACTTTCACAACGAAAGAACCTAACAGCATTGTGATTCATGACACTGAACTGAGATATACGCCTAGTAGATCCATATTTTATCACTTAGCACAACAACGCAATAAACTAAATATAACCAAGAAATTAAAACCTTTCTGATGACGTGTTTTTTTGTAGTCAACAGATGCTTTCTCTATTTGTTTTCTGTAAGAATTTAGTATTTACCATAATCAAGAAATGATTCTTCTTCTTGAAACTCATCATCAAAAGGAATCTCCTCATCGATTCTTCGCATCACAACGACGCATCTATAGTTCCTCCGATGATCCAACCACACCGATTGTCTCATTGCCATCTCAGGTTGTCTCGGACAGCCTTGATCATCTGCCGTGGACGTCAAGGTAAAGCACCGGGGGAGTGCTGTGCTAGGTGCTTCGGGGATTTGGAAGTTTCCGGCGAGTTGACCAAAACCAGAGGATCCACCGGCGGTAAGGATTCCGACGCCGGAGCATGACGTGATGCTACGGATGTAGGCGTCACGTGCCAGGATCAATAACCGGAAAGGAGCCTTCACCAGCCATAAAAGACTGTTCTCTTTCTCTATTGTGCCTTTCCCTTTCATTATTGGATTATCATCAAGAGTATCGAAATCCAAGTTCTTTTATGTATATATAAAACTTTATATTATAAGATTTATATGGAATCGAAAGAGTTATAAGATGCTCTTAAGATCTCAAGAGACACTAAGACAGGATCAAAGAGAAGACAAAGTCTATGATTGACTGTTGTTGTAAATGGATTTCTAACAAAAAAAAAATATGAATGCGATCTCTATTCTTAAATGTATATAGTTGGATGATTAAATACATTTCTTTTAGTTAGATGTTTAAATTTATCAAGATGTTGTTGGCAAATCAGTCTTAACATATGTCATAAAATATGAACACCAATTTTTAAATCTGGAAATTAAAGAGAGGTTGGTTTAGTACTTAATATAGTGAGCATAATGGCGCTTTGGTTTCACCTAATTTTCTTCCAATATGTCATTGCTCAGTAGGGTAGTTCGGCCTGTATATTGATTTTGGCCCAATAAAGACCCAATTGATTAGCATTGTTGTTTGTAATTAATCTTACTCTAACCCACCATTGAATACCACAAAACTGGTCATTGAATCCCATGGTTTGTGATTTAATGTGTTCAAAAAAATATTCATGAGAAAAGATCACAATTAAATTGTTTTTGAGATTTTTACTTCTCTAGTAATTGTAACCGCTAGACCTGTTTATATCGGAACCCGACCTAAGTATATATCCGATTGTCAAGCCTTAATGACCGTTCCTAAATAATATGATATAGATATATAAACCAAGTTTATAAACTTAATATTGCAAACTATATATATCACGAATTGGTGGAAGTATTTTTTTGATAAGAAATAAAAGTTTAGCTTTTACAAGAAGCAATTCCTAAAAACATAATCCCATGCTAAAAGAAAATAGAATAAACATGGAAGCATATATATAGACATTCGAAACGCTATAGAGCGTTTAGTTTACCAACAAAAAGCCATTGGTATCAATGAATCCATACGTGATACGTGTATAATCCTATATTAGTAAAAGAGAAATACAAAAAGTGTTTCCGGGTCGGGTCAATTTCAAAAAATTACCCGAAATTTGTAACTGGATCTTTTAAAATTGGATAGATTAATGGGTTTGGATACATATACCGGATACTTTCCAAATCTAATTTTATGATTGCATTATTTCCATAACTAATTATAAGATTTACTAATATTTCTCTAACTAATTTAATACAATCTATTTAAAAAATATTATTCTTCTTTCACTTTTATTTGATATTATTTTTAATTTATGATATTATACTATATAATATAAATATTTAATAAAAATTTAACTTTTTTTCATATGTTGCAATTTGAATTTTTCAAAACGGACATATAATACTCAACTACACTCGGTTAAATATTTTGGACAAGGGTTTAAAATCATTATAAGTATGACCAATATTAAAACCATTGTTACATGAGCATATTTAATATTTCAAATAGTTTCAAAATATTATAAATAAAAGGTTCATATATATAAAACTTTTAGAATTTAAAATATCGAAATATTTTTTTGAAGATATAAATGTAATTTTTGGAGACATAACTTTTATTGATAAAATATATTATATATCAAAATATGTAAATTTTAGATAATTCACGGGTAGTTTGTTAAAATCACAATTATAATGATAAAACGAGTTACGAATAATGTTTTTTACGAAATGAATTCTGTTACGGGTTGGACTTTCAAAAAATATATTGTCAATATGTAATTTTTACGTATATTCCTACTTTTACTACAAAAATGCCAAAATAAATAATTTATCGACAAATATTATTTAGTGCTGTTAAATTTTCACCGTGTTTTTAATTGTATCAAAACTCATTATATGATTATTTACTCGTTTTTTTCTTTATTGTTTTATTTAAACTTATTATACAAATATATGATTTACCGTAATCGAGTGCACTCTAACAAAATTAAAATGTAACATATTCTAATCCGATAAAAATTATATATATATAATTATTTCATCCGCGCTGTATCGCGGGTCCGGACCTAGTTTAATAACAAATGCTAATATATAGGTTTGTTGCATCATGCATGTGTATGTAACTATGTATGTACAAGCTTATATTATATAGACATAGAGATTTAGGGGTTAGGGAGTCACGTGACAAGTCTCACTCCAAAGCTAAAATGGCTAAAAAGAATCAAAAAGATGATAAACTAAAATATAATACGCGTAGCAATGCAGTATATACCTTTTTTTTTATTCTTTATTCGTGCTTCTACTTTTGCAATGTATAAATTTAAAGATTGTTTCACACTTCTTGAGTTAGCTAAATTGATAAAGATAAACACATGCGTATCAATGCAGTTATTCATGTTTATCATGTCATGGCCTCGATTAGTATTAACATTCACGAATTTTTGTATCAGTTAATGATCATTTTCTTTTAATCTCATATATGTTAGGCACAATCTGAACCTTTTCTGTAACGATTTTAACTTGATACAAAGAATATATATATCATTGTAAAAATTTCATAAAACAAAAACCGTATTACTGAAAATGACAGTCAAGATTCTCATAGAACAATAGAAGTCAAGTTCTTTCTCTTAGTTGAACTATCATCTGACATCACACACACTTTGCTAGCATCAAAACTCAAAAGTTATATAAACTGCCAATCCGATATACTACAGAATGAATATCAATTCCTGTTGTTACTTATCCACACAATTCTCCAAAATCGTGAAACCACCACACATTAGCCAATAGTTTTTGTTTCCATACCCAAAAACCATGGATACATATTGATTTAAACGTTGAGTAAAACACCATACAAAAATGTGGACATGCGTAAAATTGTCTTGTCCCAAACAAACAAAAACAAAAGAAAAACTTGGAATCATGAAAACATAAACAACCTCTTTTGAAAGGTCGTGTCTACCACCACTAAACACTACCATTTTAATTGGTTGGTGTCAATTCATTCTTTATAATTTTGAAACCTTCTAATTAAGAATGTGAATGTGAATGTGATAAGGACTAACCCATTCTCTCAACCTATATATGCGTTGGAGAGATCGACACAAACGTTTCTTATTTTGTGCCGCGGCGGAACAAAGAATATGTCATAATACTTACACCTTAAATCGATCAATCAGTTCAAGTTCAACAAACAAAAACAAAAAAAAGTTCAACATAAAATATATATATTGTTGATTCCAACAATGAAGAAATACGAAACAAAAGAGTAGTTGAATGATAGGGTGACTTGGTTTTCATGAAATTGTTACGCTTTTATTCGTAGGGTCGCTTCTGCTTATAGTCACCACTCACGACCACTCACTCACTCACTCAAACAAGTCATTTTAGCACTCGGGGGTCTCGAATGACTAGTGAACAATAATAATAAAGAGTTAAATTCATTAACATGTTAAATCAAACTATACAACTACTAGTATTATCTAATAATAATGGAATAGTAATAATATATAAAAATAAATATCCCAATCAAAGTCACATCCCAAAGAACTAAAAATAAAATAAAAACTTGATTACAAAACACGTCATATCATACATTTAAACACTTGCCGGTCCACTTTCGTATTAGAAAATCTTACTTTGACTAGAAAATAAAAAAAAAACTTCATATACACAATTCTTTTTTTTTATCATTATCATCAACTATGAAAATCAATTCATTTGAATCTACAGTTTTTCATTTTTTAAAAACAAAAATTTATATCCAGTAAGTAATGAATATAGATTATATATGTTTTTGTGGGTATAGTATATAAAATGAATGAAAAAAAAAGAGTGTTTTGGGACAGCAAAGTATGCAGTTATGGGTCAGTAAGACTCAACTGCAACAAAAACAACACATGGGTCTCCTCAGATCTCTCTCTCTCTCTCTCTCTCTCTCTCTCTCTCTCTCTCTCTCTCTCTCTCTCTCTCTCTCTCTCTCTCTCTCTCTCTCTCTCTCTCTCTCTCTCTCTCTCTCTCTCTCTCTCTCTCTCTCTCTCTCTCTCTCTTCTATCCCCACTCCCATCAATTTCAATTTTCAATTTCGAAGTTTTCATTATTAAATTATCTTGATTTGGTTTGGTGTAGAGTGAGTGAGAGTGATTTGTGTGTTTTAATTAATCACGGTTGGGTTGGGAAGAGGCAGATGTGGACACGTGGTGGGCAACGAGTGGGTAAAAGGAACAGTCAAAGAGCAGCAAAGAGAGAGATGATCTCGAGGCTTATTAGTCAAACCAAACCAAAAACACTGTCACGGTCAAATTATGTCTAGCTGGCTCCTTTTGTTTCTCGTCCCCACTCCCCCCCCCTCTCTCTTCTCTTTTCTTTTTTCCATAATTCCATTTTATTTACTTTTTTTTTTAATTTAAACTTTGTAATTGTAACCATTTTAGTGATTCAAGAAAAACTAGAATTAAAAATTCGTTATTTTTTTTAGAGATATTATTATAGCCATTTTACAAATTTATATAAATATTAGAAACAATTGTTCGAGTTAATAATATCATGGGAATGTGTTTTTTATTTACTAAGTATATATAAAAAGGGTATTGGTTAAACAAATTGCTTTGATGGTGTGAGTAACGATGAGTTTTATTATAATTAAAAAGAGATTAATTAAGAAGAAGAAAAAAATTAAACATAGAGATTATCGTCGCACGTGCCCCGACCTGTACGGGTTACTCTTCCCCGTGGGTTTTTGGAGTTTTGTGCAAAAACTTATAAACTCTCTCATTCCTGCTTTTTTGACTACCGTGCGGTATTTTTCTCAATTTATACCTTTAACCTTTTTTTACCACTTTACCCTCCTTTTTTTTTTGTTTCTTGTTTACATCATTTTATTAAAAATTTAAAAATTGAGAAAAAGTATGTATCCTTACTTAGCGTGAATATTAAGAAAACTTAAAAAAAAAGCTGTAGAACTCAAGAGGGTTTTAGAATGTTACTGTTGTCTTTTGACTACTTAAAAAGGATATTCCTATCTTGAATATATAAAAAGAACTAACATTATTCAATCAAAGTATTTAGAACAGATTATTCCACATTTTATTGAACTATTACATTTCTTGCATAATTTTGAGAAAGTTGTTTTGTTCAATAATAAATATTGTTATTGAGATTTGAGAGTGTTATAAATGTTGTAATTTTATAGCTAGGGACAAAATTGGAAATCTAAAAATTACTAAGCTTAAGTTATTTCATAAATTCAATGGTAAGCTAAAAAAAGTGATTAATAATATAATAAAACCGGGAGGTGAGGGCATGTGGTGTAGCTTGCACGTGTGGTGCGCGAGTCGAGAGGACTAAATTGACCGGTTATAGCAAGTGAATCACCCGGTCACCTTATCTTTAGTTTTTTTTCTTTAATTAGATTTTCCACCCGAATCTTTCAAGAAATCTTTAATTTCTCCCTTTTTTCTTCTTTTTATTTTTATTTACCCCTTTTTAATATTTTTAATCTTTTTTTCTGCTCTCAAGGAAACAAAAACAAAACAATCACTCACACTACTACTACCTCAGAAGAGGGTAAGAGAGAAAAAAACAAACAAGAGAGTACGAGTTTCTTCGTCATTCTCACGAATTCGTGATTTTAATTTTATTTTTGGTTTCGTCATCTGGGTTTTCCACAAATTCTCTTCCTTTTATTTTTTTTTTAAAATAAAATCTTCTGAGTTTGCAAAGTGCAAACCTTTGTACTGAGTTCTTTGATTTGTTTTCTTCTCCTCCATTTCTCATTATTCTTCTTCATGATTTCTCCTTTTCTCTGTTTCTCGAAATTTGTGGTGTGAAAATTTCACATTTTTGGAGGGGGCAGTTGGGTTTCTTCAATCATGTGTTTATGATGTTATATCATTAACAAGAGTTGAATGAATCTTCTTTTTGACCGTTGAAAAGAGAGAAACTAAAAATTAAAGCAAAGGGAAAAAAAAGGAAGAAGATTTGTGTTGTTGTTGTTGTAACGCTTCTTTATGAGATAAAGACATGCGTTTCTTTCTGAGAGCTTCTTTTGTTTACTATCAAAAGGCATTGTTTTCCCCAAATGTTGTGTGAGTTTTGACAAGAAGAGTTTGTAAAAATTGGGTCTTTTTGTTTTTGAGGTTTTGTTTCTTTAGATTCTTTCAAAATGCCGATGTTTCAGCCGTTAAAGAGAGATGGGTTAATTGGATTTGAAGGTGGTGGTGCTGGGCAAGTCTTAGATCTGGATACCGCTGTGAAAGATGGAGTTCTCGGTGGTGTTAATGGTGGTGTTGGTGTTGTTGATGAGAAATTGGATCTGAAGAAGATGATAAAGGAGCTAGATTTACAAGACATACCTTCTGTTTTCATTTGTCCCATCTCGTTAGAGCCGATGCAAGATCCTGTGACCTTGTGTACTGGTCAAACCTACGAAAGGTCAAACATTCACAAATGGTTTAACCTAGGTCACTTGACTTGCCCAACTACAATGCAGGAGCTTTGGGATGATGCGGTAACTCCTAATAAAACTCTTCATCATTTGATCTACACTTGGTTCTCCCAGAAGTATGTGTTGATGAAGAAACGCTCTGAGGATGTGCAAGGACGAGCTATTGAGATTTTGGGGACTTTGAAGAAAGCTAAAGGTCAAGCTAGGGTTCATGCGTTGAGTGAGCTTAAGCAGATTGTTGTGGCTCATCTTATGGCGAGGAAGACTGTTGTTGAAGAAGGAGGTGTCTCTGTTATCTCTTCTCTTTTGGGTCCTTTCACTTCTCATGCTGTTGGATCTGAAGTCGTTGCGATTCTTGTGAGTCTTGATCTTGATTCGGATTCGAAATCAGGGTTGATGCAACCGGCCAAGGTTTCTTTGATTGTTGATATGTTGAATGATGGATCCAATGAGACCAAAATCAATTGCGCGAGGTTGATTAGGGGATTGGTGGAAGAGAAGGGGTTTAGAGCAGAGCTGGTCTCGAGTCATAGTTTGCTTGTTGGGTTGATGAGATTGGTTAAGGATAAGAGACATAGAAATGGAGTTTCCCCTGCACTTGGGTTGCTTAAACCAATCTCTGTTCACAAACAAGTTCGAAGCTTGATGGTTAGCATTGGAGCAGTGCCTCAATTAGTCGATATCTTACCGTCTTTAGACCCGGACTGTTTGGAATTAGCTCTGTTTATTCTTGATGCTTTGTGTTCAGACATGGAAGGAAGAGTTGCTGTCAAAGACTCTGCAAACACCATACCTTATACCGTTCGGGTACTGATGAGGGTGTCTGAGAATTGCACTAACTATGCGCTCTCGATTCTTTGGTCTGTCTGCAAATTAGCTCCTGAAGAATGTTCGCCTCTTGCTGTGGAGGTCGGTCTTGCTGCAAAGCTGTTACTCGTGATCCAGAGCGGGTGTGATGCAGCGTTGAAGCAGCGGTCAGCGGAGCTACTCAAGCTATGTAGTCTACATTATTCAGACACCATGTTTATTTCCAAATGCAAACTCACAAGGACAATCCAATAGCAACAGTTTAAATCTTTGGCATCGACACAAAATTTCAGCGGATATCCATGAAGTGGTAAATGCGAGTTGCGAATCTGCCCCTACACCGATGTATATATAGATGAAGCGTTCGAAACTCAAGCTATTGCTTCTTCGCGGTAACAATCGAAAGGAAGAAGCAATCCGCAGATGGAAACACAGGGGAAGAAGAAGCTGGGCGGGTATGTAATGTTTTCATGTCGGTTCAGTTTGCAATTAGCATTGGGAATTAGAAAAACTGTGTAAAGTTACGTCTTTGGTTCAATCAATTTCAGAAAAAAAAAAAGGAAAAAGAAGAATTTGAAGAAAAGTATCATATTAAGTCTCTTATTGTTAACCTCTCTACTTGGGTTCTTGTGAGAGGTTGTTTTGCTTTTTAACCATTCACAACAGAAAAAGAAAGAAAAGCAAAATCTTTTGACCTGAACTTGTAGCCTCTTTTAAGCTTTTGAACCTTTTGTTCTTTTCCATGTATTGTTTTCTATTAGCTTTTCTTAGATCAGGAAATTAGACTATAGACTCGACTTCATGGTTCATTATCATCATTAGTTCATCATTTTTTTCCCAGTCTCCTCATTGTCTTTAAATGTGATGTAAATATCAAAAACGTGATTCTTGAAAAATCAATCACTGTTATTGCATAGAGTGACATCTTAAAGTACAGTATGATGTGAATTATGATTCTTATCTGGATAAGTAGAGCAGAAGTTGTGGTGGAGACCAAAAGTCTCGATACATTGGTCTGAGCTACTACTGTTGTAATGAACAATTGAAAAGAAAGTGAGATTTGACAAGTGAATCATTCAACAATTACTACTGTTTTTTGCGCAAAAACACACAGGCTTATATCACTTTTCCTGTTTTTGGAAATGAGAGAGAGACTGAGCAAATCTCTGTTTTGAGTGGGTTTGTGTATATATCACACAGTGTGATGTGAGAGCTTTTGTCTGGACATAAAAACTTTGTAGAAGAGCGACAGTAACCAACCAAAAGGTCCAAAACCTTTAGATGGGCTGCAATTTGATATATATGGGCTTTAACAACGAAGTCCATTTAAACAACTTAAACAAATCTATGTTTTGAGTGTCTGACTTTGTGGATACCATACTATCATCAACAAGTCAACATTGTGATGAGAATTTTTGTCTGGACATCTAAACTCTATAACAGGTAATAAGTAACCAAACCCAAAGATGGGCAGCAATTTGAAACCTTATGGGCTTTTTAGCAACGAAGTCCATTTCATTAATTATACGACGACGTTTCGTTTAGCGTCAAAATGGTTTTTTCTAAGGTCGCGATTGACGATACTCGAGAGTTTTGCTTGTGAGAGATCCAAAAACAAAAAAAGTATGGCATGGTTTGCTAGATCCATTGCCAATTCTCTGAAGATCGATGAGGATGATGATGATGAAAAAGAAACGATGAATGCCAAATCGATTGAAGATTCCGGCTCAGATCAACCGTCTTCACCATCGGTGTTGCAATCACAGTCTCCACGAGGCGTCAAGGAAGACATCTCTGAACTCACCAAGACCTTGAGAAGTCAGCTATGGGGTGTTGCTTCTTTCCTCGCGCCACCGCCTTCTTCTTCCGATTCGTCTGATCACGTTGAGGAGACTCGGAGGTCGTCGGATCTCGCGGAGAGTGATGAGGATCTGATTGCTGGGATTAGGAACGATTTCGTGGAGATCGGTGGTAGATTTAAGACCGGGATCTCGAAACTCTCTGGAAACTTACCTGTATCGGAGTTCACGAAGATCGCTTCTAATTTCTTGCAATTGGGATCGGAAGGTGCGGACTCCAAGGACCGTGATGTTGCGGTTGGAGATGCGATTGGTGTGACTGAGGAAGTAGTTGTGTTTGCTAGGGACCTTGCGCTGCATCCTGAGACATGGCTTGATTTCCCCTTTCCTGATGAGGATGATAACTTTGATGGTACGTTTTTTCGAATTCGCACTACATTGTAATCAAATGGTTTTAGGTGTTTAGGGTTAGTTGGAAATGGCATTGATCTTTGGTTTAGTTTTATGAGATTTTAGTGTGTTTCTTCATTTTTGCTCTTGTTTATGCTGGAATTGAAAGTTATTTGTTATCTTCAGACTTTGAAATGACTGATGCTCAGTATGAGCATGCGCTGGTTGTGGAAAGGTTTGCACCGAGTCTGGCTGCGTTGAGGGTTGAGCTTTGCCCTTCATACATGAGCGAGTATTGCTTCTGGAGGATTTACTTTGTACTTGTGCATCCTATATTCAGCAAAGAAGATGCCTTGATTCTCTCAACTCCTCAGGTAAGCTTGATTCTTAACACCACTGGTGCTAGTTCCTATATTTTTCCTCTGCTTACAGTGTTTTCTAGCTACTTGGATGTTATGGTTTATGTTTCAATTGATGATTCTCTGTTAATAACGAACCTTAATAGTAGCATGTGAATTACGTCTGCAAGTTTAATGGTAGATTTGCAAATTTTGTGGAGTGCTTAAAATAATAATGGAAAAACAGAGTGAAACTTCTAGGATGTGAATCACTGATTTTACCTTTTCATACACAGGTACTTGAATCAAGAGCACTATTATCTCACGAACTGCTGCATAAGAGAAACAAAGGTCCAGTAGTGATGCCAGAGAGTGGTGATGCGGAAGCTGCTAGTGCAAATGTGGTACCTCTTTCTCAACCTACTAATCCTTCACCGAAATCAGAACCAGAACCTGTCAAAACCATCGCTGTGGAGACAGTACATTCAACTGAAACATCTGAGTTTGAGACAGAGAAGCACACAGTCGAGAGCAAGGAGATACAAGTTGTCGACAAGCCTGTCATCGAAGAAAGACCTGCAGCAGTGTCTCATGACAAGCCAGTAGTCACTGGTTCTTCACCTAGGCTTATTGATGTTCAAGTGGATGATGATGATGATGTTGATGATTGGTTGAAGGATGAAGATAATGCAGGAACGGTTAGCACGGTCACCAACCATCCTGTGCAGGGTGAGGATGAAGATGTATCCTTCAGTGATCTTGAAGATGACGACGACGTGCCTGTGAGTTACAAGAAATGACACCTGAATCCTTCAGACCAAAGTCACTCACTGTTAATCAAAAGAAGGCTGCCACTGGAAGAATAATGTCCCACGGCTGGTCAGGTTAAGCGAGGCGAAGAAAGAAATCAAATCGATGGGCTTGAATATTGATGATGAACAACATGATGCTGTATTTGTGATTGTGACCCTCTCTCTCTATATGTTATATTAAGTTATGTTTGTGAATAGTTTTTGTAACACTGCCGTTTCCAAAACAAAGAAAAAGATGCATGGCTTTGTATCTGTAAATAAAACAGCTATACAATTGTGATGATAATGGTTAATTGGTTATGGTGGCGCAGAAAAATGTTAGAGATGACATTACAATTTAGATGTTGACCATGCTACACATTTTTGTTTTTTTTGGGCAACAACTACACATTTTAAACAGTCAAAATCTCTGAAGTTTCTCAACACGAAGAACTAGTAAAGCATTTTGGTACGGATAAAAAGAAGAGACAATAAAATAAAGAAGGAAAAGAAAATAAACAAATATGAACCCTCCGAATATATTGGAACTTTGAAATGGTCGAAGAGACAAAACATGGTATTAAATACGATGAGATTGGAGGAGGACCGGAGATAAAGAAGAAGATGCCACGTGTTGCCACGTGGAACAGAACTCTATTGGCGGTGAAAGTAAACTCCGACTTGCAAGAGACGCGACGGCTCGCCTCTTCCAAGGCGTTAGCACCTCACCGTCCACGTGTCTGGCTGTGATTTCATATACAAACCTAACTTTTTTGCTTCTTCTCTAACTTTCCATTTATGGGACAAAATCGCCACCGCCATTATCCACTGGCTTCAACTTGTTATATAAGAAAAAAATCTGAATTATGTAAAAATCTGAAAGATAAAAATGAATTATAAGTTGAAATATATATATATAAATATAAATATTAGTTTGGACGTGAAAAAACTAATATATGAAATTTGGGGTGATAAATCATATTCCTATAAATCTTGAGCTATAATCCACCGCTTCTTTCCTCTGTGCTGCTGCTGCTCGTGCTTGAAATCAATGATCCCAATATTTAATGCTTTTTTGCTTTTCAGAATACGTTTATTTATTCTAATGGAGTAGTATTCATCAATCTTTCAACATTATTTTCATATTTCAATTTTATCATAATCTCTTTTGAGGTAAGGTAAGCCTTTTCCATTTGACGAGAGAAAACTGCGGAATCTAGGCTCTACCACCAATTGTGGTGTCTTACTGACACAACCTACATGTCCTGCATCAGCTTATGTAAGAAGAAAAAAAAAAACTATGTGCGCATGTAAATGTAATATAGTAACATAGATGGTGTTTTTTATCTTGTTATTAAATTTTGCACGCAGCTACCACGATGACCATGAACTTTCTTGATAAGGGGTTTTTAATGAGTTTTTTTTTTAATAGTATATATTAAAAATATATATATATATATTTCCTTTTATGGATTGAGATTTGAAAGAAGATTGTTGTTGAATTTTAAAGACTCCATAACTGACTTATCATCATCAACCCCCATGCTCGAACCTTCCAATAGAAAAAAGGGTGTGTTGGCAAAGTAGTACGTTTTTGAAACATAATTATAAAGATAGTACATTTACTATTCACAATTAGCAAAATAGTACAATTTTACTATTTAAGATATCTGTACAGACAGACAACTGTACAGTAACATATTATTGTACATCAAATATTTGTACAAAGAGAAATAACTACATATAAATATATTTACACATAAACAAATATACATATATAGACCAGAAAATATTTGTACACATATAATTATACGTATATATAGACCGCTGTACGGATGATTTTCCGTACATCGACACACAACTGTACATAAGGATAGCTGGACGTATCAATTTTTTTTGAAAAATATTTGAAATTATTGTTTAAAAAATGCATATCAAATTATAGAGAAAAAAATATAAATTTTTATGTAACTAAAATTTTATAGAAAACAAATATATTTTGATAAATATTTTTAGTTATTAGATTTAAGGGGATTTTTAATAGTGTATAAATAGTGTCCAAATAGTAAAAATGTATTAGTTTGTTAATAATGAATAGTAAATGTACTACTTTTACAATTATGTTTCAAAAATGTACTAAAAACCCAATTAATCCTAGAAAAAACCCCAATGGTTTCATCTTCTTCTTCTCTATCACACGCATGTACCTTTGTCTGCATCACATCTACTTGATCGTTGCAGATCACATACCTGGCTGAAAAGCCCCCTCAATAATTCACTATCTCTCTCTCTCTCTTGTTACAATTCTGTTAACAACTTTGACGTCACCATTTGAATTCTTATCCAATTCCATTTCTTAACAGATCTTTTTTTTCTTTTTCTCTTTCTCATTCCTTCAAGATTCTTGATTCTCCCACCACTTCCTTCTTTTTCTCACTTGTTATAGTTTTTGCTCTGTTTTCAAAAAAAATAAAGTTGGTTCCTTTCTCATTTATTTTTCCCGGGAAAGTGAGAGAGCTCTGAGTTTGCTTAAAGGGTTTATAACCATGTTTGAGATTATTCCGGGTAGCAAGTAAAGTTTCCATTTTTAATCTTCTTCTTCGATTCTCTGTGTTAGTTATATGGATAAACAACTAGGGTTGAGCAAAAGAGGCTATTTTGATTTCGCTCTCAAGAACAAAAAGTGGATTTTGTTAGCAGTGAGTGGTTATGGTGCTTTCAGGGTTTATCATTCTCCTTCAATTTCCCAGAAACGGAAACGTATCTCCAAGCTTTTCGCTCTTCTCCTCAACCTCGTCGAAGCTGCTTCTGATTCCGCCGAAGCCGTTAGCGTCATCTCTAAGGATCTCACTGAGTTTCTCAGATCCGATTCGGATCAAATCCCCAACAGTTTGAAACAGGTTTCCAAAATCGCCAAGTCCGATGAGCTCAACTCGTCTTTGATCAGATTCACACAAGCTATCACCGTTGGGTTGATCAGAGGGATTGATTCTGGTAATGATGGATCCGGGTCGGGTTTTACTGATCGGGTTATGGATAAGCTGTTTACTAAATCCGGGTCGGGTTTCGCTTCCGCGATCGTTGGTAGCTTTGCGAAGAACTTGGTCGTCGCGTTTTATTCTTCATCCGGCGGCGGAGAATCTTCGGTGTTTTCGAGTTTGAAACTTCTCGACGCGATTTGTTCCGATGACGGGAGGAGATTGATCGGCGATTGCGTTCAGCGTTTCGTCAGCACCGCGGTTTCGGTTTATCTCGACAAGACGAGCGATGTCAACGTTTTCGACGATTTGTTCGCCGGTTTAACCAATCCGAAACACGGAGACAAGGTTAAGCAAACGCTAGTAACGGTCTGTAATAACGCGGTCGAAACGTTTGTGAAAGCGTCGCGAAAACCGCGGTGTCAAGATTCGTCAACGGTGATGACCGTTGGATCAACGAAACAGGCGACGTGGATAGATCGGGTATCGTCGTCGTTATCGGTACCGAGTAACCGGAAATACGTGGTGGATTTAACCGGGAGGGTAACGTTTGAGACGGTTAGATCGTTGTTAGAGGTGTTGATCGAAAGGGCTAATGGTAAAGTGGAGAGTTATGTGGAGAAAGTGAGAGAGAGAGGGAACGAGACGAGGAGATTTGTGAGAGTCAAAACATCACTTCTTCATAGTTTATGTTTGTCTTTGTGTTTACAGATTGTTGAAGCTCCATGGATCCTGACTCCAAGAAACTGATTTTACACAATTTTCAGGCTAAAAGACAAGAAACACTTTTGTGTGTTTCTTTGTTTTTAATTCTTGGATTCATCAATCAAAAATTTGATGTAAAATTGTTTTTTTTTTTTTTTTTTCTTATTTGAAAAGATATTAAGATTGTTTTTTTCTTGGGTTTTTGGATAGAAGAAAGAAATGGGTTGGTTTGAATGTTTTTTGGATTTGGATATTTGGATAATGATAAGTGTGGGACATTATTATTTGTTACACTTTTGTGGATAATATATAGTATGGATATAGTTGCTCAGTGACGTGGTTGATACAAAGGCCTATATATGACAATGTTCTTTTATGAGAAAATGAGTCAACAAAGTAAACAAAAAAGTTTCTTGTTATCCAAAAACACAAGTTGATAACTCTCTCATCTTCATTTGATTTGATCATCTAACTTTAGTTCATCATACTTGATATAATGATATACATACTATAGTCTCAATTTGCAACGTAGAGAGTCAAGTACACCCGAAATAGTTCTTTACGATAAATGGCAATGTTTAGATGATGGCTCCGATCATCTTTAACGATCAAGGGCAACATTTCTCATTCCACGATCATTTCTCTAGCTAGTCTCGTCACTCAAATCACCTAATAAAAAAACTAGGAATCCAAATTACTGTTTTTGTTTTTTTTATTTTTTTTTGGACAAAACTGTTTTTGTTCTTTGGTTTTGATTATTTCAATTTTTGTGTTCGAGGGCTTTGGCCCAATATAAATGCATCATTTACTATATCGGCCCAGTAAAAAAGCCGTGGTCAGATAGAGATGTGTTAAGAAAAGTACAAGTCTTCACAAGAAAAGTCAACTGCTTTTTGTTTTGCCCCAGTCAACGCGTCTAATTTGAAGACAAAAAAAAATACAGCTGGTCGTTACAACCAAACTCGAAAGTTCGAAGCAGAAACAAATCTTTGTTGTGACTTTTAACATTAAACCTTACAATATAAAAATATACTTATAATAGCTATATTAAAAATCCATAAAATCATACAACGAGTGTGAATAATAGGAACTCTCTCAAAGTAACCCACAAAAAAAAATTAAAATTAAAATAGCAAAAACAAGAACAAAACAGGAAGTAGAGTGATGATATATATAGCCATATATCATATATGGTTTGATAATATTAGTTAATTAATAATATCTGATATATAGAAATGAGAAATCTAATGCTTGTGATTCTGAGTGTAAATATAATCGGTGTGAGCAACAAGGGTTCGTCTTATCAAACACTCTTCTTCTCCAATTCCGTTGCAGCTTTCTTCTTCAGCCTTGTCTGCCTCAATTTCCTATACGTAAAAGAATAATTATACATGCACATCGTCAGTATATTACTCTTGTGATTTTAAATAAGACTTTATTAAATCAGACAAACCGAAAGAGTGATATACCAAACTAACTTCGAACGGCTATTTTTACAGATTTATTGTCTTACGACTAATAATCTTTCCAACATATATTTCGTTCGAAACCGATTGGACCGTCAACTTTTTTTTCTTTTCTAATGAAATTTCAAGAATTTTGTTAGTAATCTTCTATGAATCCTTGAAAACTCCATTTGAAATGGTCCTTTTTTTGTTGTTGTTGTTGTAGTGTATTTTACAGATTTATGCATGGAAGATTTTTGGTTTTTTTTCTTTCTATTAGTTATATTTATTTATATGTTGTATATATGTACTTTAGAATCTTAGAGGGAGCTTAAAATAATCTAGGTGTATGCAGCTTTCTTATATATGAAAATCTAATATAGAAGATAGAACCGATCGATCATATGTTCTTTCCTTGCTAATGCGTGGAACATACTCTGTCTCTGATAGTTTTTCAAATATGTACTTTTCGAGTTGAAAGATTCGGAAGAAGATACAAAGATAAGATAACAAACCTTGACGGAGATATCTCTGGACGAAGCGGTGGCTGTCGTGGGAGTCAGCCTGGCCGCGTAGGTTAGCGTAGAGCAAAGAAGGAGAGCCACGATGAAAATGGTTGTGAACTTAGTCATATTGACTCGCAAAAGGGGAGAGAATGGTAGAGAAGAAGGAGACTTAAAAATTATTAGATGTGAGGATGAATTATGAATAAATGATGAAGTGAAGTCAATACATTTATAGTGAAAACACTAGTTGACAAATTAATAGCGATCGAGCTGCTGCCAAATGTGAACCATATAAACTTGTAAAGCATAAAGTTTTCTGACACACCATAAAACGATTCATATATATCGCTCAAACTAATTGTAATTAGTTGTTAATTATATCCAAAAAAATGTTCTTTTTATTCCTGCCGTGTCATATTATTTTATGGCCCTACTTAAATTATTTGATGTTGTTGTGTGAAATGTGAATGATTGCTCAAAAAAGCAAAAACAAAATATCATGTGATCGAGGGAAAAAAAAAGGTGGCCATGGGATGATAAATTTTTTTTGTTTTTATTTAATTTTTCAAAAGAAAAAAAATTTAATTAAATAATGAGTGGTTTTAAAATTATCTTTTCGCCGCTAAAGTTATCAACATATAATATATTTGCTTATAGAGTTTTTTTTGCTAAAATGCAAATATCATAGATATGAAAAGTTTGGTTTGACAACCATTACAACATTGGTAGTTTTTGTTTTAAGAGTTTGTTTTAGTGGTTTTTTTATCAGAAGTTGAATTGCTTTCCTGTTTTCCACTTTTTTTGCTTATAGAGTTATAGTTTGTTTTAATGCGAACAAAAGCTTTAATTTAGTTTTGCATGTAATATATGTGTAAATTTATAGCTGACCTAAGATGTATAATATAATGTCGAAATCGATAAATGTGTGTCATAAAAAGAAATCAATTTTGTCGAAGGCTTGAAGAAGCTTTGGTGGTGGACATAACGATTCACCTAATGATTCTCACGTGCAGCTGAATGGGCAATGAGAGACTTGTGAAAAATAAAAAAATAAACTGATCATATAATAATCTTTGACGAATACTTGTTTGTAAATTGTAACTACACCAAACCAACCATTTTTTTTTATCAAAAACAGTTGATAGAGTCGATTTAAGTTCTAACGTATTCTAGAACGCCCTGGAAATATAAACGTCATTCCACGTCACATTACGAGTTTAGGACAAATTTATTAATCTTTTTGGTCACCATTTTTTTGCATGCAATATATATGTAGTAATTAAGGAAGAGATGACATACTTGCATTTTCTTTTTTAAAAAGTTAATTCATAGTAACATATAAATTTCTTCTAGCTAGCCAATCTTTATAAAAAAAAAAAAAAATATGTGACAAAAATGTAGAAAAATACGCGCATTGGAATCATAATAAGGCATGCATTATGAAAAAATATTCTGGTCAAAAGAATAGGGAATAGATAAAGAGGTTAGCAAAGTCGTCTTACACTTTTCAAACATATATAGTGAATTATTTTAATTCCATTCACATTTATGCATACATCACACCTATCGTAAACATATTAACTTGACGTCGTTGACGATTTCGATTTGATTCTTTTCTTATCACATCTCATATGTGTTTTTATGAGATCATTAAGTGATCAGTCGGTACGTAGTAGAAGTACGATAAAGATGAAACATTTGTTTATCCAGGCGGCTTTAAAATAAGTTATTATTCATGTTTTAGATAAATAATGAATATATTCGTCTTTAAAACCAAAAATATGTTATCTATATATATAAAGTTAGCTTTTTCTCTCTTCTCATGATGTCACATATGCATCCAGCTAAGCCACATTTTTGTTTAAACATTAAAATAAATTTAAAACATTTATTTAGTACATATTTATGTTACTTATTTAATTAATAGAAAATTTATATAAATAAAAATAAATTATGTAAAAAAAATGAAATGTTAAAATAAGAAAAACAATACTTTAATTTTTTTATCAGTGATAATAATATAATTCAACTTTCATTTTAAATTGATCATAATTTAATATTTTAAATATGTTACTGAGTTTTAGAATGGAAGTAAAATTTAAATTTATGATAGACTAAAACAACATTTATGTAATTGTATATTTAAAATTATAAAGAGGAAAAAAAATGAAAGTGAAATATTAGTTTATAACATGATAAAAAAGAAAAAAAAATGATTTCATAAATTGAATCAAATGCTTTTAATCCAAATTTGAGTATTGAAATATAATAGTTAAAGAGAAAATAATTATAATATTTTTTGAAAATCAATTAAAAATAATAATAAAATATCACAATATGAATAAAAAATCAACGAAACAAAATTATAAACCTCCCGCGCGGAGCGCGGGTCTACTGCTAGTACTATATACTATATATAGAGTAAGATCGATGAAGTTCATATTTCGTTGACAAAAAAAAAAAAAGTTCATATTCCGAAACCGAAAGTGTTAAAGAAGAAAGCATTCATTTTGGCAATTGGTGTTTGATTAAGTAATCAAAACATTCTTCGGTCAAGATCCCAAACCCCAAATTGTTCGTAATTATCGTTGTTTTTATCCAAGAAAGAACAAAAACATATATTCTTCTTGGGACGTGAATAATGAATGAGTTTTATTTTTTTTCCATGTTCTCAAAAAAAAAAACGTGAGAACTTTTTCTTACCAAATTTTGAATAAGCTCTTTTTCTTACTTAATTTTCTATTTGGAAAGACATTATGTAATTCTAAGATTAGTAAAGGATAAAATTCCAATATTCTAGATAGGGTACGTTGAATTTAGTAAGAGTTAATAGAAAGTTCTTATTATTAATTAATTAATACTATGTCATATCCGTTTAATTTTGTCTTCTAGATTGATTTCGATGACTAATATTTAACGTCGCTCCAAATAGTAATGTAACTGATTTTGATATTCAGTGGTCAATATGTATACGTGAGACAATTAAAACCACATGAAAAAAAGCTAAGAAAATAAATGCTTATCCCAAATTCGAAACTGACTGACATTGAGTTTTTTTTTTTTTTTTTTCATAATATATACTATAAATTATAAAATTCATAAACGTCACAATGATAATATTGTATGACCAGTTCCAACTTTCAAATCCATATATATGGACGTTCTTGAGTGGGTTTTTTATTTTATTTTAAATTCAGAATTTTAGAACATCTCTTATTGTGATAGTACTTAAACAAGATATGATGCTGAGGTTGCAATGGCCTAGGCTGAGCTAGTCTCTGAACCTTGGAATGTAAAGAAAGAAATGAAAGTTCGATTAAACTGAAAGGGTGAGAGAACGAGTGTCCGGGAAAAGATCTACAACCTCATTTACGCAAACGTTTTACTTAGAAAGACAGATAACAAGACACAATTGTATAATCGCCAAACACATCCATCAAAACACGCCAATAAGAGAGATAACAAAACACATTTGGTTCTATAAGGGTTTTGGTTTTTATTCACACGAGGAAGCTGCTTCTTATGCTAATTCTAAAGTATACACAGTTAAGATTGGTGTTTACTGTTTATTACTAAATTTGGAGTAAAGATAAATAAACAAAATGAGGTAATAAGAACATAATGGTATTGGTTGTTTTTACCCCAATTTCATAACTTTTTATTCATATATATTTTGGTCGGACCATTTCCATTCCGACTTGTTTACATTAAGAGGTAAACACGTTTGCGAATGTATAAGCAACGAAAGCAAAGTGCTACACAACGAGCATTCGATGTTTCATCACACCATTTTCAAGTTCATTGACAACGATAAAGTGGTCCGCTCCAAAACAGAGGAAACATTTCGAAATACCCTAATACAATTTTGGGATAGATAAACTCATTCTTGTGTTTTCTTTGTGTATTTGTTATTATTTTTTTTGTTTGGTAAGATCTTGCGAACTTGGTAATGGAAACTCGCATCGTCCACATAATTTGGTATGTGAAGTTTCGTTATGGGAAAATTTATGGATTTGATATTCAGTTTGTCTCGTTCACATAATTTGGTATGTGAAGTTTCGCTATGGGAAAATTCATGGATTTGATATTCGGTTTCTCTCACACGACGTAAGAAGAGCGTATGTAATCAACGAACTTGAGTTATTTGTATTGATGGCCAAGTTTTGAACATTTTTTTGAAAGGCTTCTAGAGATAATAGATATTTGCATTCGTGTTTCTTCTTCTTGCATTTGCTCTACATCTCCCGCAATAAATTCAAGAAAAACAGTCAAAATCGTCTATATAAGAATTTTTATTAGAAATTATATTTTCACATTTTTTTTTGCCATAAAACTATGTTTATAGGTTATAATCATATATAGTAAGTGTAAACCATTTTTATTTATAACGAAATATGTATCTTCTTAGAAAAAAAATTCTGAAGCACCATAGGCATTATATTACGTAGTCCCCAAACTTTTCATTTTTAATATTACTTATGTATATATTAGAAAAAGTAAAGTTTTGTTTATAATGGAACTAGTGGGGTAAAACCTCAATCACCATAGGCATTATACTAGGGTTTTGCCATTCTGAAAATTCCGGCTTGCATGTGAACACAAGAATCATAAAATGGCACAACTAGTAAGACGTTCACATGCATTGGTCAATATCACCTATTCTAAGAGATAATAGTGACTATAGTCTATAAGTTTCGTAATCTTAAAGACTTTTATTGAAACGAGATAATGAACTTTTATTGAGAAAATAAAATTTATCAACATTTTGATATTTTAGTGGTTTGCTTAGTTGGATAGTTTTGACATACAAAAAAAGTCTCTACAGATCAATAAAAGAAGATAATTTCTCCATATCATGAGGAGAGTAATGAAGCAAATAGCACAAGTCCAGAATTATGAAACAAACAAGTTCATTACTAGCCAGTGTCATTAGAAACAAGCAAGTAGAGTTATAATTTTGAGCAAGACTCCTTTTTCCTATTTTATGAAATTAATCTAAGAATTAATTTGATTTGGTGACACTAACTAAGTTTTCTCTCGTTTACTTTCTTTGTACAATAAAGCTCGTAGGAGCTATTTGATATTCAGTTTTATATATCTCCTAATAAGCTCACTTGAGCATGATCGATCTCTTTGCCTTGACACTCCCACTAACATGGAGAATATGACACTAAGTTTTCAATACGGGCTAATACATTTATTGGGCCTTGTGCAATTGTGCATTACATTCCTAACGTACGCAATCTATGTTTTATATACGTTACTAACTTAATACTCATTTAGATAGGCAATTTTACTTCATGTTTCAACAATCTTGGACTAATCAACGATAAGATATGTTCGTTTTGTTAGAAGACCATGGGCCGTATGTTTTAGCTCCTCCAGCAACTGTATAGCACCATGTTCACAAAAGATTATCAGTGATTTGCTCTTTGCTGTCTCTTTTGCTCGGCTGACTTCTATATAAAGTGTTATCGTTCTTCAATTATGGAATCAAGATGAAATGTTTTCTAATACAAACTTTATATTTTTTTTCCCTAGGAAGTTAGAGAAATCCAGTAGATTCAAGTCTTTGTTTTTCTTTTGGCCATGTCCACGGAATCAAATCCGCACAATGACACAACAACGACACTAACACATACTTTTAATCTAGATTTGTTCCTTATTTAGATTTATTAATTAGTGAAATAGAGAACCGAAAACATTGTTCTGCATTAGAACTATAGTTTTCCTTGGCCCGCACAGCAGTGGTCCAGTAGTAAGGGAGAATTGGGAAAAGGTTGGAAGGAACTAACCCAGCTTCGATCCATCCTGCAAACAAAAATCATGGTTGTATGGGAAGTATGTCAGTTGGGCCTTGTCCCAATTGGTTTACCTGGTAGTCAGAAATGCAGGCGGCTTGACTACCCCTGGCATTAGTCGGAAAGCATTCCAAACTCGGGATAAATAGTATAGTGGCCCTTTGGGGAGAAGTCCACTCTGAAACACTTCGGTGCGTTTCTACTCGTGCTGGCCGGATCAGCCGATAGGGTTTATCAAAAAAAAAAATCCTATAGTTTTCCTCACTGATTCGTGAATAACACATAACTATTATTTGCCGTTTGCCCAAAAAAAAAAAAAAAAACTATTATTTGCCCAAACAAAGTTGTTAGCTAGTGTTCATTTTTTTCATTCATTGTATGAGTAAGTTGTGACCATTTGTCAGTTCTTTAAAGGAAAGTAGTTATAACCATTGGCTGCAAATGACTTTAAACTGATTTTTAATTTAGAAATGAGAGAAAGATAAAGTGGTCGTGCACATGAACATGATCTCCAACAAACTTGAAACATTATAAAGTCGAAAAGAGTTTGATAATTAAGCTATGCTTCTTCCTTTTCCTTTTTCTTTTATTTTTTTCTGTTTGCAACTTTTTGTTGTATTCCTTAGGAACGGCTTCTTTAAAACTGCTTTGCTGTTAAGAAAACTACCATTGCATGTAGAATATTCTCTATCTCTAGTCTCTTTTTCCATAGAATTTTTAGGAAAATGATTGTAATTATCAATAAAATTAGTTCTTCTTAGTCAATAAATATTTATTTGGTTAATAGCACACATATGACACAATAACATTATTCATACAAACTATGAAAAATCTAAGTTCTTGAATCACTTCAATTACTTAATTACACCCATATACACGAATATATATAGTCCATAACAAACTTGAAAGTTTGAAAGCCATCTTTACATATCAGATAAAGAAAAATCTTAGGACTGTCAATTTACTAAATATATACCACAACTTTTCGAAAGAATGTATTCGAAAACAAGACGTAATTAATTACATTCGATTAAAAAATCATATCAAATTGAATTTAAAATTAAAGTTAACCTTTTGGGTGTATAACTTTTCCTAATTAGATCCAAGTCCCTTTTCTTTTGCAGCTTTAGTAATAATTTTATATCTTACTACCTATGAATATTAATCCATCATTAATTATGAATTTAAAATACAAAAGTATGCCGACCAACAAAAATAAAATTAAAAAATACTGTGGTATATATGCATGCATATAATTAAGAACTATATAGTTCTATATATTGGATGCAATAGATATAGGATGCTTTATCATCTTTTGTTGGTCCAATGACTTTATATTGTGTCTCAGGAACGTAGATTTCACTAACTATATTTTGCAGTTACATATACCAGGAAAGAAAAAGGAATCTTACCCCCAAAAAAATAAAAAACATATATGATTCCGTTGTCAACCTTTGTAACGAGATTTAGACTTGCACATGTTGCAAAAAAACAACAAAACCATATTACAATAATAATACATGATGTAATAAAACTTTTTTTTTTTTTTTACCGATCATCTATTAGCAAACACGTACAGACCATTTGGTTTAAAACTCCAGTACACAAGTTCTGTAACACAACAAAATATGTTCATACCCCATATACCACAATTCTAGTATAATCTTTGATTAAACAAGAAAAATGAGTATTGTAAAAGTGTTACTAAATAGTCAATTAAATGATAATTTCATTCAAGTGACCAGTTCACTGAATCTTTTGTTATTCCAACTGAGGAATGGGATCTCCAAATTACATTGGAGTTACATCTAATCCTGTATCGACACGTATCCAAACAATTTGTCTAATGGCTGATGCGACTCATTTTCTCAAATTATTTTTGGTTTTTCTCTTTTTCTTTTTTAAGGTAAAGTAAATAAAAGAAAAAGAACTCATAAAAGATAAAAAAGGAGAGTTATATTAAAAGGAAAAAAGTTTAATTTACTAATGTACTTTATGATGACTAAAATACCCTTTGTGTAGTTCTGTCCATAAATATGAGCCTCCAACGATACAATTCTTCCCTTTTCTCCTTCTAATCTCTCTCCCCATCTCTACATTTCGAGATCATTCTTTTGTATTCCGGTTAAGCATTATAAAACCATGATGTCTACGATTTCTCCGGTTTTCTCAGCTGAACCGAGTCTAGCAACCTTTGTCCCAGCTTTCGAAACCGGTTTCACCCCATGGGACATTTCACACCTCTTCTCGGTCTTTGACTCCTCCTCATCATTGGATGATCCAATACCGAGTTTTTCAACTCATGACGTTGCTCCCACGACCAAGAATATTACTGATGAACGGAAAAAGAAACGGAAACTATCGAACCGGGAATCGGCTAAGCGATCAAGAGAGAAGAAACAAAAACACTTGGAAGAGATGAGTATCCAGCTAAACCAGCTCAAGACTCAGAACCAGGACCTGACGAACCAGCTCCGGTACGTTTTGTACCATTACCGAAGAACTAATACGGAGAATGATCGTCTGCGTTTGGAGCACCGTATACTACAAGATAAGTTGTTGAACATGAGACAAGTTTTGATGTTTCGTCAGATACTGGAACGAAGCTCGACGAACTGTGCCACTTGGCCTTGCGACAACAACAGTACTGTTGTTACTGTCCAACAGGATCCGTCTATTATAACTAATCATGTTATAGTATGACTGTATGAGATATTCCCGAAATTGTTGTTTCGATCGGGTAAAAGTAAAACTAAAACGAGAGCACCTTTGTAAAAAAAAAATATTTAAGAACATGCATGGATCCTTATAACGTACGTTAGGGAATTAAGTTACGCATTTTTATATCTATGTTTCAGTCTAATTAATAAATAAAGTAATTAATGTCGTGTTTAAATTTTTTTAACAAAAGAAATGGGTTACTGGCTGAATTGGTCGAGAAACTTTTTCAACTTGTTTTTTCTTTTCGCTCTTGTCTTGTAAACTTTAATTGTTGAATATATATATACTTTATTATCATTTTCAAGAGACATAGTGAATGTGATGTTAAACATATGGAACGTCATATAAAGTTATATGGGCATTGTTAAGGCGATTAGATGTATCAGCACAATTAGCCATATTCCAACTTCCAAGCATAAATTCTAAAACGTCACATACCAAACATTTGATTTAATTTATATAATATTCATATCCTACATGCTACAACTTCATAGTGATAAAATTTTATAATATTCCCGTGAAAGTTATTAAAATGACGCATATGTCGACAAAACAGATGGGTTAATTAATTGGGATCGTGATAAATAAATTCGTGGTATAAAATATAGATTACGAGACCTATGTCCTAATTGAGTATTGATTAAGCTAACTAGGAGAGGTCGAATTCAAATGCTCGTAAAGAGATCGACTCTCTTCTCGGCAATCTTTCTTAATTGATTTAATGCTTTGTTTGGACATGATTTTATGTACTTCGATCTAAGTTAAGTCAGTAGAACAATAATGAATAGGCTTAGCTAGTGATTATAAGATGATAATATGACAAAATTTTCACTAGATCGATTGTTAAGCTTATATATTATATGCATATGGTACGAAATTAAGCTATATAGGCGAAGGGACACAAGTTAGGTTGATGATAATGATGGTTTGATGACCAAATAGGTCCATTAGTCATGTACCAATTACACCTGATTAGATCCTAATTAGCTAAATTATTAATACACACATATATATATATTCTATGTATGACACAAATTTGTGTATATATATATATGTTCAGGAGCGCAAGTTTTAGGCTCTCTCTAACCTTTCACGAGATATGGAGGCATGTTGATAACAATACAAACGATATTATAATTAAGAAAACGCATATTAAAATACGAATGTTTGCCTATATGTTCTGTGTTAATGTATGGGTCTATGGGAGGGGAAATTGAGGATTATAAAACTAAATAAAGATGCGGCCATGCTTTGATTTACATAAAATAAAGGTTACGGTGTATATTATGACACGTATCAATGCTATTATTGTTAATTTTCCTACTTTTGTTCTTCTCAAATGTTGTCGTCCACGATTTGACCTAAGGAATCGGATTGATTGTAAACATAATTAGCCAAACTTTAAAGTCACAAAACAAAGTTTCAATAAGCTATATTTCCAAAACATTTGCTATTACTTTTTCTAGGGTAAGCTTTAATGGTTGTGATATGATATTTAAGGTTTTGTATGCACTGAATTAAACGGTGCAAAAGGGACATATACACTTAACCAATCGTGAACAAAAACAGACTGAGATGTTTGATCAAAAAAATAAAATAAACAGACTGAGATGATCATTCAAAGGATAAAGAAATGTCGTTCACATATACTTGTACTACAACACAGTTTAAAAACAACCGCTGATGAATCTAATATCTCTTTCTTTTTACTTTAAAATTTTGTTTGTAATAGCTTAGCTTGGTGGGAGTCGAATGATTGAGAAGTTAGGGGTTATTAGCATAAACTCGCATATTTCGAGTTTATGGACAATTAAACTCATGTCACGCTTTAATCCCATAAAAATTTGAGTGAATAGAGGTTATGGGTAGGCAATTAAACTCATCCATATAGATTGGCCAAAATAATTTTGTTTCCACTGTCCATTAACAAATTAAATATCTTTATGTAATATTTTTGGGCCACATTTATCTTGTCTTTTTGCTTTTAAGGAAGAAAAGGAAGATAAAAAGAGTAAATACAAATCTGATTTTGATATTTACAACTTGTGAGATATTTTACTTAGAGTTTGGAAACCTTTTACATGATCTTGTAGTTCGACGACAGATGGACCTTGATGAAGACCTTTTTGTGTTCGTGATAAGATGCTTTACTCATACCACATTCACATTCAAAATATGTATTTGAAGTAATTAAAATACAAGAATTAAAAATGATATCTCAAACTATGAATGAACAAAATTAATCTTTAACACGAGGAGCTTTGCAAGAAACTAATGATTTAAGAGTAATCTTCTTGCCTTTAGACACAACCTTATTATCATCGTCAATATATATATATATATATCATTTGAACAGTTTCTCATCGCAATAAGAAAAGGATCATCATCATCATCATCATTTGAACACTTTATCAACGCAGTAAGAAAAGGATCGTCACCATCGTCTTCTTCTCGTACCTTAACATCCGTCTTATTCCATTTCATCATACACGACGATTTAACTGACGAGGAAGATCTAACCAACCGTTTTGATGATAACGGATATGGTGGTGGCAAAGGTAGCAATGATGGTATTGGTACCACCATTTTGTTATCAATATTTGACGTTACGTCTATCTCTAATTCATGATCTCTATTTGATATTGATGATGATGAAACTTGAGGCAATGATGCTGCCAAAAGCAATTTATTTTTGTGGGAGGACATGGTTAATGGTTTTGTTATGTGATTGATAGATTGGCGAATTATATTTGATTTCGTTACGTTTTGAGTGGGATTGAGACATTATAAAGACGTTGAACAAGTGAAAAAACAAAAAAAAACAAAAACAAACAATTAAGGAGGGTGACATGCATGCTTGTTATAATGTTATGATTACTGAAATAAATTTTAGAAGAGCATGCATGGGACTTTCTTAGTCTCATTCATTAGTCATTACATACCATACATATGATCAAATACATAATTTGTATACGTAATACCTATAAGATCGTCGCTTTTCAAAGAGAGTACATTTCAGACAAGGAAGCAACATAATTAAACCAGTGATAACTCCAACTTATATTTGAGCCTTATTATTTGTTGTTTCATTTGATATAAACAGGTTGAACGTTGTAGGAAGATTAAAAACCAATATGTGAGGAAAAAGATAAAAATATTTCTAGTCTTCTAGACGTGTACTTGTATCATGAGCTCTACAAGTAACACGATGCACGAGAGATTGAGTTGGGCTTTACAAAAGTTATAAACAGGCTGAAAATGGGCTCACAAGTCACAAGTAAAACGATTGTTCGAAGTTTTTTTTTAATACATATATGCAAATTACATGATGTCAACCACTCGAGACAAAGAGATTACTACTGTTTATAAAAAGTGAAACTTGTTAATGATTGTTAATGGAAAGTGAAAAAGAGAGTGTGACGCACTAATAATAGGAAGGACCACCCCCTTACCAAAATATTATGTGAAAATTGCTTTTTAAAATATTACATACACTTTGTTTTTCAAATTACTGTACATGACTCTCTCTAGCCTCTCTACACATGGTTCCCAATTACTGGACCAAATATATAGTTTTTTAAAAAATATCAGTGAATGGATGTCATGATTTACTTTTTAAAACCATTGTAATTAAAATTTATTCTTAAAAAGTTGAATCTATCACACTATAAAGATGCACATACTACTGTCCACTGCAATATCATTCTCCTTTTTCCTATTTATATAAATATTGGCTACTTGATAAGAAGACCAAGAACAATTCTAAAAACTCATGACTTTATATTGTCAGCTAATCTCACTTACTTAAGAATATGGATGACATGATTAAGATCTTAATCATGATTGTTGTTGGTCTTAAACATTTATACAAATAATTAAAGTTCAACACAAAGACCCAACACAAAGACCAAACACAATCAATTCAATTCTTTTTAATCCAACCTCTTATCCTACGCATAACAACACCTCACTCTTCTGCTAACACGCGCCTCTATCAACTACAATTTTTTCTTGTAACCGTTTTTTTTGTTGAACACACTCACATGAAACTTCCCACTTTCTTCTTCTTCTTCAACCTTTTCGAAACCTCTCTCTAAAATCAAAAATGGCGAGGAGTCACCGGTTTAGCTACCGGTTTAGCAACCGGTTACTCCTTCTCATTCTACTAACATTCGAAACGGCACAGCGTCCAACAACAGCCGATCCAAACGACGAGGCGTGTTTAAAAAACCTCCGGCAAAGCTTAGAAGACCCGGCGAGTAATCTCCGTAACTGGACTAACTCCGTCTTCTCGAACCCATGCTCCGGCTTCACCTCTTACCTCCCCGGAGCTACCTGTAACAACGGAAGAATCTACAAACTCTCCCTCACGAACCTCTCTCTCCGCGGCACGATCTCTCCCTTTCTCTCCAACTGTACAAACCTCCAATCCCTAGATCTATCCTCAAACCAGATCTCCGGCGTAATCCCACCGGAGATTCAGTATCTCGTCAACCTCGCCGTTTTAAACCTCTCCTCTAACCATCTCTCCGGCGAAATCCCCCCTCAGCTCGCTCTCTGCGCTTACCTAAACGTGATCGATCTCCACGATAACCAGTTCTCCGGCCAGATTCCTCAGCAGTTAGGTCTCTTAGCGAGGCTATCGGCGTTCGACGTTTCCAACAACAAACTCTCCGGTCAGATTCCGACGTATCTCTCGAATCGCACGGGGAATTTCCCGAGGTTTAACGCGAGCTCGTTCGTAGGGAACAAAGGATTGTACGGTTACCCGTTGCAGGAGATGATGATGAAGAGCAAAGGTTTGTCTGTGATGGCCATCGTTGGGATTGGATTGGGGAGTGGCGTCGCGAGCTTGATGATTAGTTTTACTGGTGTTTGTTTATGGTTGAGGTTTACTGAGAAGAAGATGATTGAAGAAGAAGGTAAGATTAGTCAATCTATGCCTGATTACTAATTACTGTTTCTTAATTGTATTTAATTTTTTTTAATTACGGCTTTGATTAAACATTCTTGAGTTATTAATGCTAAATTGAGAAATATTTTGAAGAAGGATATATACTAATATGATTGGTACTAACGGATACTGCGGGATTTTATTTCGAGAGAGACACAAGTAGACCCAAAAATACTGATTTTGATTTTGATACGTTGATGATGCCATGCCAGTACATTACACTGTCAGTAATAATAGATGAAAAGTTGTGTTTTTCTTTGTATTCTTAAATCAAAATAATACAGCTACACTTTAGGATACGATGATCATTTATCATTCATCATTATACCCCCCACTCTTACAAGAAGAGGCTCATGATTATGCTTTTCTTTAGCAACCGGTTAACGTGTACGACTAAACCAAATTTGATCACAATCTCATCCAGCTGCAACCTCGTTGTTTCATAGCTCCAATTGAGTTCATGGCTTCTCTAGTCTCTTCTGCTTCTTTCCATAAACCAGCTCCTGCGTAAATATTCGACAGTTGAACGTAAACCGATGGATCGTTCTTCTCTTTCTCTATTAGTAACTTTGCAACCATCTTTCCTAGCTTCAAATCTCCATGGGCAGCACAAGCGCTAAACAATGCCCATAAGACATCCACACGAGAACCTATGCTCTTCTCGCTAATTTTTACCAAGCTTTCCGCTTTGTCGAGGTGACCTGCTCGACCAAGAAGGTCGACTAAGCACGAGAAATGATCTGTGTTCGGTATCAGACCGTGATATTCCACCATTGAGTTGAATATTTCGAGCCCCTCTTCGACTAAACCGGCGTGGCTGCAAGCAGAGAGAACTGCTGCAAATGTGGCTGCATCGGGATCTACCTCGCCTTTATCTCGCATGGTTTTGTAGGTTGAAACCGCGCTCTCTCCTTCCCCGTGTCTCGCGTATGCAGAGATCAGAGAGTTCCATGACACAACGTCTTTTTCAGACATCTGATTAAACACTTCAAGAGATTTTTGTATAGTCCCACATTGAGAGTACATGTTGATAAGGGCATTACCTATCAATGTTTCCTTGAAATGGCCGTGTCTGAGGACGTAAGCGTGAGTTTGACTTCCGATCATCAAAGATGAAATGCTTACGCAAATGCTCACAAGGGTACTGAGAGTATAAGCATCAGGTAAGATTCGGTCCTCTGATTCTATCAAGCACGAGAACCTTTCCAAACCTTCAAAGGGAAACCCATTATGGTAAAACCCTGAGATTATCGCGTTCCAAGAGATTAGATTCTTCCCTGGCGATCTTTCAAATATTAGGTCAGCTTTTTCTATCTGTCCATTCTTCGAGTAGGCAGATATCAACGCGTTGGAAATTTCAATCTTTGAACTAAGTCCGAATTTGATTATACACGCTTGAACCATCTCCAGGGAATCTAAATCTAGAGAGGTTGCTAAAAGACTTCCAAAAGTAAACGCATCCGGTTTAACTCCTATTCTGTGCATGCGGTTGTATACTGACATCGCAGACTCACCCATTTTCGCTTGGTTATAACTGGAGATCATTGTATTCCAAGTAACCAAATCTTTCTCTTCCAATAACTCGAAAACCCTACGAGCAGCACCAAAATCCTCAAAAGAAGAATACATTGTCATAGTGGAATTGTTAACCAAAGTATAATCTTGATACCCTGTCTTGATGGCTAATCCATGTACTTGGTGCCCCATAGCCACACATGAACACGAACTCATTATGCTAACAAAGCTCAGATCGGTTGGTCTAAGACCAGCTTCAAGCATTTGTCTAAACACTGACAAAGAATCTTCTCTTTTGAAACCAGCCAAACCATCAATAACAACATTAAAAGTGACCTGATCACGAACAGCAACATCAGCTTCTTCAAACACCAGACCAGCGTCACAAACCAGTTGGCAATTGAAATACATTGTAATTAGGGCATTCACAACAGATGATGCAACCAAAAATCCAGCTTTTATAACCAGCGAATGTACCTGCTTGCCAAAATCCAAACAATCATAGTAACACATACTCAAAACAGTAGCAAAGCCAAATTTGTCATGTCTTACACCAAGCTTGTGCATTTCTTGAAACAACTTGATACTTGTTCCATGATAGCCACTCTCTTTACAACCAGTGATCATAGCATTCCAAACCGCAACATCATCTCTCTCAGGCATTTTATCAAACACCTCAAAAGCATACTCTATATCCCCAAGCTTAAAACATGCACTCAGAAGCGTCGTCCATGAATAATCATCTGGTTCCTTAATCTCTTCGAATTTCTTCTTCAATAAAACTAAGTTCCCTAATCTCTCATATAGCGAGAGAAGCGTATTGGAGACGTGAGAGTGACTCAATAAACCAGAGCGAATTGCATAGCAATGAACCTGACCACCGAAGATGGTATCACGGAGGTGCCCAGCTGCAGTAATAGCTAACGAGACACTGTACTCGTCTGGTCTCAGAATTGTGCAACGGTGAACATCGACGAAGACCTTGAGAGCGTTTCTGTTCTCGCCGGAGCGAGTGAGACCCGTTAGTCTCCGGTTCAAATTGAGCAAAGTAGTCGAGTTTTCGGCTATGGCTGATAGATTCTCTGTTAAACATAGAGCTTTTCTCATCAGTCATCTATAAGCTGCGTTGTTGTTGAATAAATTTCTCTCTTTTAGGTCTTGACCATAGTCCATATATGCAAAACAGAGTAAAGGACAGACTTTATAAGACGAAACGGCAAAAACAGAGAAAAAGGAGAAGACTTTTTAAGACGCAACGGTGTCGTTCTAGAGAGAGAGAGATGCTTCGATTCTCTGGCATAGTCGATCGTTTCCTCAGCAAACGCTGTGTTCTCTTACCATCTTCTCAAGCAAATTCTCGTTGTGATATCATTTGTAAAAGGTTTCACATTTCCAGAGTTCTTAACGACGATTTCGTGGATTCAGCAGAGATAAAGAATGGGGTTGGCTTAGTTTGTCCAGAAGATGAATTCGCCGGCGACGTTGATAAGATATACAGGATTTTGCGGAATTACCATTCGAGGGTTCCGAAGTTGGAGCTTGCCCTTAACGAATCAAGTATTGATCTGCGACCCGGGTTAATAGTACGAGTGTTGAGTCGGTGTGGTGATGCTGGGAATTTGGGTTATAGATTCTTTCTCTGGGCAGCGAAGCAACCTGGTTATTGTCACAGCTATGAAGTGTGCAAGTCGATGGTGAAGGTTCTTAGTAAAATGCGGCAATTTGGAGCTGTTTGGGGTTTAATTGAAGAGATGAGGAAGGAGAATCCGGAGTTGATTGAGCCGGAGTTGTTCGTTATACTGATGCGGAGGTTTGCTTCTGCTAACATGGTGAAGAAAGCAGTTGAGGTGCTCGACGAAATGCCTAAGTACGGGTTAGAGCCTGATGAGTATGTTTTTGGGTGTTTGCTAGATGCTTTGTGTAAGAACGGTAGTGTTAAGGATGCTTCAAAGCTTTTTGAGGATATGAAAGAGAAGTATCCTCCGAATTTGCGGTATTTCACGTCGTTGTTGTATGGTTGGTGTAGGGAAGGGAAGTTGATGGAAGCTAAAGAAGTTTTGGTTCAGATGAAGGAAGCAGGGCTGGAGCCTGACATTGTGGTTTTCACTAACTTGCTTAGTGGATATGCTCATGCTGGAAAAATGGCGGATGCTTATGATCTTATGAAGGATATGAGGAAGAGAGGGTATGAGCCGAATGCGAACTGTTACACGGTTTTGATCCAGGCGTTGTGTAAGACAGAGAAGAGAATGGATGAGGCGATGAGGGTTTTTGTTGAGATGGAAAGGTATGGATGTGAGGCTGATATTGTGACTTACACCGCACTGATAAGTGGGTTTTGCAAATGGGAAATGATTGATAAGGGTTATAGTGTTTTAGATGATATGAGAAAGAAAGGAGTCATACCATCGCAAGTTACATATATGCAGATAATGGTGGCTCATGAGAAGAAAGAACAATTTGAAGAGTGTTTGGATTTGATTGAGAAGATGAAGCAAATAGGTTGTCAACTCGATCTTCTCATTTACAATGTAGTGATCAGATTAGCTTGTAAGTTAGGGGAAGTGAAAGAAGCAGTTCGGTTATGGAATGAAATGGAAGCTAATGGTTTAAGCCCTGGAGTTGATACATTTGTTATTATGATCAACGGATTTACAAGCCAAGGTTGTCTAGTCGAAGCCTGCAATCACTTCAAAGAAATGGTAAGCCGAGGAATATTCTCTGCGCCTCAATATGGAACGCTGAAGTTGTTGCTGAACAACCTTGTAAGAGATGAAAAGCTTGAAATGGCGAAAGATGTTTGGAGTTGCATATCAAATAAAAGCTCTTCTTGTGAGCTTAATGTATCAGCCTGGACAATATGGATCCATGCTTTACTTGCAAAAGGTCACGTGAAGGAGGCGTGTTCGTATTGTCTTGATATGATGAAAATGGATTTGATGCCGCAACCTGATACCTATGTGAAGCTCATGAAAGGATTGAATAAACTGTACAATAGGACGATAGCTGCAGAGATTACAGAGAAGGTGATGAAGATGGCAAGTGAGAGAGAGATGAGTTTTAAGATGTATAAGAAGAAAGGTGAGGAGGATTTGATTGAGAAATCTAAACCTAAAGGGAGTAAAGAAGGGAAGAAGAAAGGGACAACTCATCATAGGCATAAGGGAGGAGGTGAACGAAGTAAAGCTAAAGCATTGTAACATTATTACCTAGAGTTTCCAAAAGAAGCAATGTTAGAGATTACATTGAATCAAACAGTGTCCATTCCTTTGCTTTGTTATACATTCAATAGATGACAATTGGTTTGTCTATGAACTGACCATTTTCAATGTTATGCTGAAGCTGCTTGAAGTTGGACTTTGGAGGCATATACCAGCTTTGGACTAAACCAAGCGATCGGTTTATTTTTATTTTGTTACCTAACTACATTGCCAATTTTGTTTAACCGGACGAGCAAACCGAAAAATAATCGATTATAAAAACCTCAAAAGGAATAAATCAAAATTAGACAAACGAACGACCTAAAGTTTTCAACAAAAAGGCTCTGCTGCAACAACAGACGAGAAGCTTAGATGCATTGTTCCGATGCAGAGCAGACTTGATTTTTCTGAATGAGTACAACAGAAAGTGTCGGAATTTGGCTAAATCACTTGAACTTTGGTGATCAAGCAACTTTTTTGTATAAGAACACCAAGATCCCACTTTGGAATCGTCAAGCGAGTGAAATATCAAAACTTTCAAACCCTCGTTTGAACCGTATCTCAATGTTGAGGACCTTGTCTCATGCTCGGAGCCGTCTTAGGTCCGAAACGACATCATTGCCTCTTGCCCGGAACCGTCTTAGGTCCAAAACGCCTTCATCGTCTCCTCTGTCTTCTCCATATTCTTCGAAACGGCATGCGCCTAAGACGAGCGAAGTAGAAGACTACTCGCGTGCAAAAGATTCCGTTTTGCTATACCCTAAAGATCCTTCGAGCGCGCCTAAGCTCTTTCTAGTCCAGCCTCGTCTTACGCCGCCTAAGTTTCTTCAGGCGAAGCTCAACGAAGCCCTCTGTCTTGCGAATTCGCTTGAAGAACAGAGATATGGTTACTTTGAATCCGATTTCTTTGACAAGGAATTGCCTTCTCATGTTGTTGTTCAGAACCCTGTTCGTAGATCATCTAAACCTCGCGCAGGTTCGTTTTTAGATTGTATTAAGAATCATGCCGTCCATTTGTTCGACGATATTCTTGAGAGACTGATGATTAAAGTGTGTTTCGATTTTAGATACCTATTTCGGGCCTGGGACTGTAGACAACATCAAATGCCATCTAAATGCTGAAGATTCTAAGGCAAGTAGCAAAACATTTCTGCTATTTTCACAAATTATGAGTCTCTGTTTCTTTTTCTTTGTCTGCTTGTAATGAAAAGTTGGATCACGCTGTTTACAATCTCTTTGATGCTCAGGAAGAAGTTGATGCTGTTTTTGTAAACGCCATGTTGACTGCTATTCAACAACGGAACTTAGAGGTATTGCTACGAAATCCTAAGTTTTTTCATTGTTTTGTTTGTTTTATTTCTGTTTATGCTAATGTTGTTGTCGTTGCATTTGAATCTTCAGCGAATATGGGCAAAACCTGTACTAGACCGTGTAGGCCTTATAATCGAAATATTTAATGCTCATGCGCATACAAAGGAAGCAAAACTACAGGTACTCTGACAATACAGATTTGTCATTTACATACTAGGAAACGTTTGTTAATAGCTTTTGGTTCATCCATTCACACTTCACAGGCTGAGTTAGCAGCTCTGATGTACAAAAAGAGCAGGTTGGTTCGAGTGCGTGGTACTGATGGACGCCACAGTTTTGGGCAGTTTGGAGAAGCTGAAGTTGTCAGTGCCCGAGGGTGAGTGGTTTGTCTTGCTATTTTGTGTATATCCTTTGCTCTTTTGAATTTTGAGACATTGATAAACGTATTGTTAAATTATTGTGCAGGAGAGCAGCAAGTGGAACCGGTGGAGGTTTTGTAGGTGGTGCCGGAGAAACTGAGCTTCAGCTTCAACGCCGAAGGTCTTAACTTTACGAAGCTTTTATCAGACCACATTTATATATTCTGTTTCTAATTGTTGGTTAACCAAAAGACTTAGTGCAGGACTCTCTTTTCTAATATTTAATCTATGCGTTTAACACAATCTTGATTACCAGAATAGCAGACCGGAGGCTTCGCTTGTTATCCCAAATTAAAGAAACCCAGCGAACACGGCTATTGCAGCGTGCTGGACGTAAGAAGAGAGTGGGGAATAAGGATGAGAGTTCAGCTACCATTGCTGTTGTTGGTTACACAAATGCTGTAAGTGTTTGAATTTTTCTCCCAAGGAGTTTCAGCTAGAAACCAACTTTTTGTAGTTTACTTTCTAAGTATTAATTATCTGCTTTTGTCAGGGAAAATCGACTCTGACAAGTGCATTGACAAAGACTGCTCTCTACTGCAATGAGCGGTATAATTCAAATGGTTTCAATACCATCTTAAACTGACAAATTTGAAACTGAAGTCATAACTTTTGAATGCTTGGTCTGGCCTCTGCAGATTGTTTGCCACATTAGATCCTACACTCAAGAGTTGCCATCTTCCCTCTGGGTAAGTTGATTTGTACTTTAAAAAGGATGTTTATAACATAATGGTACACATGTACTTGTATTGAATCGCAAGAATTGATTTTTTTATAGAAAGTCTGTGCTTCTTAGTGACACTGTTGGATTCATATCAGATCTGCCTATACAGGTAATATATACCTACTTTAACATCATGTATTATTTTCAAGTGATATTTCACTTACTTTTCTTTTCGTGGCTTATGCCTTTTTACAGCTGGTGGAAGCATTTCAATCGACTCTGGAAGAAGTCGTTGAAGCTGATATACTTATGGTAAGAGCTAAATAAATAACAAAAATCATATATTTTAACTTACATTTAGTAGTGCAAACTTCCGAAAGATCTTGGCGTTGATGTGATTGGTTCCTTGCAGCATGTAGTTGATTCAACAGCTCCAAATATTGAGGAGCATCGTTCAACAGTGTTTCATGTCCTTAATCAAATTGGAGTATCTGAAGAGAAGCTTCAAAATATGATTGAAGTCTGGAATAAGGTAGGTTTGAAATAAACCTGTCTATACAAGTATAAGAAACAACCACCTTTTTTCACACTGGGAATTTTGTTGTAGATTGATTATGAAGTAGAAGAAGAAGTGGAGGACGTGAAATTTCTAGGCGAAGGCGAAGGCGAAGGCGAAGGAGAAGGAGAAGAAGAAGAAGAAGCTGAGTTAAACGACGGTTTAAAAGCTGAAGAAACCGTTGATGCATTTGTTGATGAAGGCGAAATCAAAAACCAAGATGATGACTCTGATGGGTGGCTATTGTGTGAAGATGAAAATGTCAGTGAATCTGAGCTCTGGAAGGTTCCTGAAGTTGCTAAACTAGATGCTGTGCAGAACAAAGGACCACATGTTAGAGTTTCTGCATTAACAGGAGTTGGTTTGAAGGAGTTGCTGTATCTTATTAATGAAAAAGTGGAAGTTTTAGTAGAGAAGAGGCTCAAGCCTCAGACAATAGTCGAAAGCAGCGAACTTCATAGGCGTAAATGGAGACCACCTCGTGACGATGATGAAGATGCGAGATTACTCCCCTTAGATCAACGATGATAAAGTAAAGGAGAAAGAAGCAATACTAATGATGCTTCTACTGTGTATGTTCTTTCTTTTTTTGTACCACGGAACCAAAGAAATGCATGTCGTTTTTTTCGAAACTGCTTTGCGTGTGTAATAAACAAACGGCAAGATGTTTGTTGTTATCTATTATTTAATGGCCTTAAAACGCCGTCGGTTTCGTACCAGCGCGTCATAGACTCATAGCCATACGCGCTTTTACAACGCAAGTATATAAATAAGTAGATAGCGATATTGCAGTGATGTGTGATATATTAACACTTCGAAGCTTCTTCTCCCTTTTAGTAAATTCAAGTGAGGTGTATTGAAGCTTAAAGTGCTCATTTTCTCGGATCTCAGATCTTAGATCCAAACCCCCATCGATTCATTAATCCAAGGTAGATTTGATTTCTTCTTCCTTCTTCTTCCTCTTCTCGATTTGGGTTTCGTTAGTTTCCTGTAAATTCCCTTTTTCCGCGAGCTGATTCATGGATCTATCTGTAATCTGATTTGTTCCGGTTGTTAATTGGGTAAGATGTTGCTAAATTGGGTGAACGACACGCAGCTAAGCTCATGATGGGATCTAATAGGTTTCAGGTTATGTGTTTGTTTCCATGGATCTGTGTTCTACGGTCATGGTTATGTGGGAGAAATTAGCTACTTTTGTCAAATTTTCGTGTTTTGATTGCTTATTCTATTCCATGTGGAGAGTGAGATTAGCTGTGTTTCTTCAACATTGATTTGTTTTATAGTGAATGGGCAAGAGCGTTGTTGTGCTTTGTCGTCTCTGGATGCTCAGTTCAAAAAGGATATTGATTGATCCAATTTAGTGCTGCTGTTGCTTTGTAGATCTAATAGCTTGAGCTTGTTGGGATCTTAGTCATGGCGAGACGGCAAGTAGGTTCAACAAGACGCGTAGGAGATGGTGGAAGCTTCCCTTTTGCAGGAGCTTTGCACTCAAAGTCTCGATCTTCTCCACTTCTATCTATTTGCCTTGTCCTTGTGGTATGGCTTTTGTACTTCATTTGTTTTCATTAAGTGATTCGTTTTTTTCTTTCTGGGATATGAATGTGTTGTATATGGTTCTAACTATAAATTGTTGTTTCGTTTGTTTTCAATTTCTAGGGGGCTTGTCTTCTCATTGGTTATGCTTACAGTGGTCCAGGTATGTATGTGATCATCTTTGTTTATAATGTCTTTTTGCATTATGTACAGCTTTAGTAACGAATTCATATTTTCTCGATCTCAGGTATCTTTAAAAGTATCAAAGAAGTCAGCAAAGTTACAGGTAATATTTATTTCTAATTGTTCAGTACATTTGCTTAAGTTAATGCCTTCATCCACATTTTCATTGAGCATCTTATCTGCTATTTAACCCGTTCAAATGCTTGACTCTCGGGTTTGACATTTTTTGTGAAATTTGTTATGAACTCAGGTGACTATTCTTGCACAGCAGAAGTCCAAAGAGCCATTCCTGTTCTTAAGAAGGCTTATGGAGATGGCATGCGCAAAGTCTTGCATGTGGGCCCTGACACATGCTCAGTGGTTTCTAGTCTATTGAAAGAAGAAGAGACTGAAGCCTGGGGTGTCGAACCATATGACATCGAGGATGCAGATTCTCACTGCAAGAGTTTTGTGAGCAAAGGTCTTGTACGTGTGGCTGATATCAAGTTCCCTTTGCCCTACCGGGCAAAATCTTTCTCTCTTGTGATCGTGTCAGATGCTCTAGATTATCTCTCACCCAAGTACCTGAACAAGACTGTGCCTGAACTCGCAAGAGTAGCTTCAGATGGTGTTGTTCTTTTTGCAGGTAAACTAACATAAAACTTCATAAAAGGTGTTGATAATAAAAATCTCTCTTTTTGGTTTCTAACTCTTGAATTTCAACGGTTCCAGGTCTCCCTGGTCAGCAGAGAGCTAAAGTTGCTGAATTGTCTAAATTCGGTCGACCCGTAAGTTTCCAATACCCTGTTTTCCTGAGTCCTGATGATTATAGATGAAACCATCTGTCCCCGTTATTGTTTAGTGGCATTAGCGTAGTATGTAGTTAGTCATTAGCACCTCTTCATGATTCAAACATTAACAGTTACCTATCTTTCTCAAAGTTCTTTAAGACAGATACTACAAGTACAATACCTAATAGGCTAATACATTACACTCTTATTTTGTTGGCAGGCTAAAATGCGTAGCGCATCGTGGTGGAACCGCTTTTTCGTCCAGACAAACCTAGAAGAAAACGAAGCACCAAGCAAGAAGTTCGAACAGGCTGTTTCCAAAGGATTATACAAACCAGCCTGCCAAGTCTTCCACCTCAAGCCATTACACTAACCAGTAGTCACCAAGCCTACTGGTCCACACTAAAGCATATTCACACGTAGAGCCGCACTCAAAAAAGAATAGCGTAATCGATATTCTCCTTGTATTTTGTAACAAGTCAGTTTTTTTTTCTACTTATTGTTGTATCCGTCAACACAAATTTTCCTATTTAATTAAATCATAATTATTATCAGTTTATCACCAGTAATCTCCACATGAGCACTTGCCATCTTTGAAGCAATGAAACCTAAGGTTATCTCTTACAATGATCTCTCTACCTGCAACTGCAGACATAAACTTGATTGCATTGTGACAATCCCCACATATTCTCAAATTCTTCACTACAACCAATTCCTCTCCATCTCTTGTTGACATCAACCCAAAAGCCACAGCTAGCTTCTCGCTATGATGTCCTAACCGCATCTCTTCCTCTCCTTCCCCTGCACCATCCTCCTTCACCATTGCCCATTTCTTATCCATAACATACCCAACTTTCTTCATCTTCTTCATCATCTCCTCTAGATAATCATTCACTTCCCGTATCATCGGATGAGACCAATCTTCTGCCACAAATACATGCTTCTTCTTCTTCACTTCTATCCAACTACATCCTGGCTTCTTCCTTATCCTTTTCCCCCTCATTGATTTCCTCACAGAGGCCATCTCTTCCCATTTCCCTGCATCTGCATACATATTTGCTAGCATCACATACGGCGTGGCAGCTAATGGTTGCATCACCATAAGCTCATTAGCTGCTCTTTCCGCAAGAGCCATGTTTTTGTGTTTTCTACAAGCACCGAGCAATGCCGCCCAAGCAACAGAGCCTGGCTTATACGGCATTGCATCTATGAATCTCTCTGCCTCTTCTAGCTTCCCTGCTCGACCTAAAAGATCAATCATACAAGAATAGTGCTCAACCTCTGGTTCAATCTTAAATATCTCCTTCATGGTGTTGAAGTACTTCTGACCCTCGTCGACTTTACCACAGTGTGCACAGGCAGAAAGAACGGCTACAAAGGTTATATTGTTAGGCGCAATACCCGAGTTCAGCATCTGTTGGTATAAATGCAAAGCTTCAGTTCCATGCCCGTGCTGCGCATAACCTTTAATCATACAGTTGTAAGACACCACATTACGTTCCGGCATTCGATCAAATACACGTCTTGCATCTTGCAGGTTTCCATTTTTGTAATACAATGAAATTAATGCGTTGTTCACAGAAATTCTATTCGAAGGGATGTGAGATTTGATAGCCAAGCCATGAATCTGCTTGCCCTGAGAAGGAGAGGAAAGATTTGAGCAAGCGCTGGTGACACAGACAAAACTGCAATCATCAGGTCTGTGTCCAATACGTTGCATCTGTATAAAACTCTTCACAGCTTCTTCAGAGAGCTCTTCGTTCATTGAATAACCAGAAATCATCGTATTCCATAGAACCAAATCCGGTGATAGAATCTCTTGAAACACCTTCTCGCATTCAGACATACCGTGACGACCCCCACATTTCGAGTAGAAATCGATCAAACCACTGCCCACGTGTGAATTCTGGTGAAATCCAGCCTTGATCAGCTTACAGTGAAACTGACGGCCACCGATCAGATAGTCCAAGCTCGTAAGAGCATTTAAAACACTAGCCAATGTAAACATATCAATCTTGAATCCTTTAAAGATCATTTCTTTATACAAAGCTAAGGCCTTTGCTCCTTCCTTATGCTGCCCATAAGCCACAATCATCGAATTCCACGAAACTTCATCTCTTATTTCATCCATCCCATAGAACACCGATACCGCCTCTTTCAAAAGCCCGCCTTTACTGTAATACGTAACAAACGCGTTATTCACAGAAGAGTACGAATCAAAACCTCCCGAGACAGCAAAACAATGAAGCTGCTTTATCAAACCGACACGGTCACAGCAAGCTGCTATCAACCCTGATAACGTAAACCCATCAACCTCAAACCCCAATTCTCTCATTCTGATAAACAAAACCATCGCAGCAACAGTTTCTCTGGCATCGGCGTACCCGGAGATGAGGGTATTGTAAGAAACAGTGTCCGGCTGCGGAATTTCGTCGAACAGCTGACGTGCGATATGGATTTTCGAATCCTTCGCATAAGCTTTGACAATCACATTGTAAGAGAAGACATTGGGTTCTTCCGTGGAGTCAAACGCGGCTTTTGCGTAGGAAAGACAACCACACTTGGAGTAAAGATTCACGAAGTGGTTTGAGAGGTAAGTGGAAGAAGCTACAATGGACTTCACGTAGAGCCCGTGAAGTGTTTTCCCAGTGAAGAGATCTCTCTCCGCTACAGATTTTAGTAGAAGGTCTCGAAAAGATTTGAACTTCCATGGCGTCTGGTTCATCTAATTTACTACAAGTGAATCTCAGAGATATGAATCTGCATTTGTAAAGTTTATTTACAGAAGAAGACAGCTGAACAAAGGCATAGACTCGTAGTTTTCAGTTTCCTCTCATATTCCTGGTTTGGGCTTAGTCTTCTGTTTGAAGCACATTTATTATTATGGGCTTTTTACTTCTTTAGATCAAGTGGAAGAGAAGAGAAGATCAATTCATTAGCAACTCGATATATATTAGACTAAAAACTACATTATGTTTGGTAGCCCGGGGCACGAAGCGAATATTCGGAATATCTGTAATATTTGTGATTCGCTTCGTTTCGACCGAATAATTGATTTTGGTATTTGCTTCGAAACATGTAGTATATTTAGCAACATTTAACAAAAAACCCATATAATTTTTTTTTGATATTAATTTATTTTTAATAAAGTTTTATTTGTTTAAAAGCAACATTTAACAAAAAGCCTCACAAACCAAAATATAGTAATATGAATAATAAGCCTATTAGAT